CCCAGCACTTGCAATATCCTTCCCAAAGTCTGATTGGGGAAATTCGGCACCGCAATGTTCACGCTACAGAAGTCTTTTTTACATTCGGCCTCACTGTTCATGACATTCCAACGACAAGCATTGCGGTTACAGTCAAATGCTCGTCGAGAGCTGGTCAAAATAAATCGATAGATGGAGTTATCGAAGCGCCATGAGTTGAACTGAATGAACGAAACAAAATGGTCCAGCTCCACAGTCCACACTAACTTTGGAAACGTTTCATCTCCCAATGCTCATGATACATGATTCTAATTTCTAGTCCCGTGTCATTGTCCAGCATTCTACATCAGATACTGAGGGAAGGGAAGGTTTCTAAATCATGTCAAACGACTCTAAATAGAGTAGCTGTTAGATTCCGTCGTCTATTGAAGACCTCAGTAAGTCACACTGGTTGGGCCACCCGAGAGCGAGTCCATTTATACCGGATGGGTGCACGAACACAACAGAGGCACCGAAACCGACAGCTCCAGGCCGGCTGCCTCAATCACATCCCCGGTGACTAGGGGTGCGCCTCTCCGGTCAAGGTTGTTGGCTAAGACGGCAGTGTTTTCTCCCCAGCTGACTGCGCTCAGCCGGTGCTGTCGAAGGTCGCTGCTCACTATGCGCTCACCGGTGTGTGTGCGTGTGTCTGTGTGAGCTGACCAGTGATGTTTGCCCACCTCTCCGGCGGCCGGTGGGCTTTGAAGGGCCGTCAGCCTAATTGGTACATGAGTACGCGTTTCATTCGTCGGTCCGCCCGCCCGGCCGGCAGTTGGGTAATCCCATTATACACGCGACTGGCCGTCCCCACCGTGTCCATGGTAGACGAGCGACGGACGGATGGACGGACGGGCGGATAGACAGAACAGACAGTCGGACGGATGGACTGACGGACAGACAGACGACCAATCGACAGATGGACTGACGGACGGACAGACGGATGGACTGACGGACCGACGAACGGACGGACGGACGGACGGATGGACGGACGGATGGACGGACGGACGAACGGACGGACGGACCGACGAACGGACGGACGGACGGACGGACGGACGGACGGATGGATGGATGGACGGACGGATGGACGGACGGACGGACGGATGGACGGACGGATGGATGGACGGACGGATGGACAGAGTGGTGGACGGATGGACAGAGTGGTGGACGGACGGACCTGACCGATTGTCTGCCTGACAGTAGACCGACGGAGGGCTCAAACACCTGATTTAGGTGCGGACAGCTGGACAGTTACCAAAAACGACACATATTAAGTGAACTGATGAATAAAAGTGACGAGGTTTCGTAGAAGAATTGGGGACAACAGATGGGCCAAGGATAAGATGAAAAAAACAGCTGCCCAATGGTAACGAAATAGACTTCACCTTATCTACTGGTGTTACGTCAGGAATGCTGGATGCACTTGCATGGATATATCACTCGTGCACCTAGAAGCCCGCTCTAGAGTGCAGAACTTGTGACCTCTACTCTCTCCATATGCCTATTACTACAATGATCTATGATCTATTCTGATTCATTCTTAACAAACGAGTAGCAACAAATGACCAGACACATAAGTAGAAAACCACTGAAACGTATCAATTATTCTACACACATACTCAAGGGCGGCAGATCAGTAGTGCATTGGGGGGGGGGGGGAGGCGGGATGGAGGGAAGCGATGGATGGCCGCTGTTTGAGCCAAGAACGTTGCAAGCGTTTTTTTAGGGGGGGGGGGGGGTCAATGTTTGTTGCTGAACACAGTACAAATGATGAGATAAGGAGACGGTCAAAAATATGCCTGCGGCTGCTGCTCTATGAAGCTATAGAAATTCTCAGATTTCTTGTTTGCCACCAACCCGTCATTCGCAGGACTTCCCCGTGCACACACTGGACACCTTCCCATAGTTATGTGGCGTCCTGCGAACACCGGCGGTTGCGAGGGCTCACACACAGGCAGACAGCTGTGCGTGCGCCGTGCGCGACCGGCTGGCGCCGCCCTTCCGGCTCTGGTCGGCGGCTCGTGGCCCGTGTGATGCGCTCTGAGCAGTCACGGTGGGGAGGGGTGCTCACTGCTCATCCTGCTCACATCCTCTCCGGGACCAGGGGGGGGGGGCGGCCGACAGGCAGATAACTCACTCCTAGCCACATAGGCAGTCGAACGGCACAGTTACCTATTGATACAGCCATTGTTATCTATGATGACACAGCGCATTGCTGCCCAACACACATTTTATGTGACTTAATGATTGGTCCCAAGGCCTCCTCGGTTAATTAACAAAAAAAAAATGTGGTGAGAAATGAGCAAGAGCTCGAAGCCGATTCCTTAACACGCTTACAATTGATAATTATGAACACCTGGCTACATCAAGTCGTCTGATCATATCCCTCTCCCACTGATCATAAGCTAATCATGTGATCAGCCGTCATAGACTACTCATGATCGCGTCATAGGTCACGATTCTTCTTTCGAACGGATTGCAAAACTTGGCTTCGAAACCTGACATATACCTATAACTTATAAAAACGACTTTCAACGCATTCCTATGAGACCTCGGGCTCGAATCATGATTACCTATCAATAACCAATTTAGAATGTCAATGTAAAACGTTTAGATTTTAACGTTATTGAAAAAGCCTTGTCGAAATCCTTGCTAACATTCCAACCTGGCGAGGGAACTGCTCATACACATCGCCCATAGCTCAGAAGCACTATGTGCTTATGCCCGAACCGTTGTACATTGACGCGTCCCCGGACCGTATATGTATAGCCCCGGCGTGGCACATGCGGCCGGTCCGTGCGCTGGCCATCTGCCGTGCAGGGCCAGGCGCCGCGGCCGGCCGTGTTTAGCGGTGCTGATTGTCGGCCGGCCGCGCACACGGCCCGCCGGATTACACACGAATTATCACTATCGGCCACCACGCGGTGCGACAAAATGATTTGTTAGTTCTGCTTATTTGGACAGTTTACGACGTCCGTATAGGACAGTTATTGTTCCAACACGGCCTAATGCCGCGCTAATACCCAAGTGTGGGCAATGGGCCGCCCTCGGTCGCGCGAGCTGCGAGATATTTATTGATGGCGTCATCGGTATCAGCGGTACAGAGAGGTGCCGCCGCCGGCGCCGCCAGCCGCCAGTAAATCACACGGCCGGCGGCGACGCACCCGCCCCGATTGCCGCATCGTAAACGGCGCACGGCGCTATAAACTTTACACCGGCCAAATGTTGACTCTCCTGATACCGCCCACCGATTCGGTAGCAATTAAACTTGATAAACCAGAAGCCGGTGACGATAATATTAGATGATCCGGATTCCGTTTTGAAGAGGGTGCGTACCGAGGTCGACCTGCGACCCCTCGTCGTCCAGTGTTCGCATCGCTCCCATACGGGACATGTGCGCACACCATGGCCTCACACTATAGATAGGCGTGCTCCGGGCTATGGGGCGACAGCATTACTTCCAGACTGGTATCAGATACGTGGAAATGTGGGCGTCTCCACACTCCACCGGAAACTGTGCCACACAAGGAATCAATACCTACCAAATTCCCTATACAAAGATGGTCTAAAAATTCACACACAAATGGGGTAAAATTCACACACAATGCGGTAAAGTTAAAGCTGAATTCGAAAGTCAGGACTCAATTATTTAACAAGAAAAATTCAATCAGAGCATTGGACTCGATCTGTTCGAAAGCTAAACAGAGAACCGAAAACGTTTCAAATACCTTGGTAGGGTAGAGTCGTAGACATATCCTCACAAAACGTCAGTGTAATTGGCGCCATCCCACATATGGATTTCAATCAAAAGAAGCAGCATCTGTCTGTAATGTAACTAGTCCACATAACATCAAAGGCATCAAAGCCCCATCAAAGCCCATCGCCGGCAGGTTCCCTACGGTCTCCGGCGAGCTGAACGTGGGACAGTCGCGGCGACCGTCCGGAGGGATGACCTAGGACCGCCGCGTGCGGCGACTGGCACGGTAACCGGAGCCGGCCACAGCGCGTTGTTTGCCCCGAGAAGCCCGCCGACACGCACAACCAAAGCCGATTAGTCGGCGATCACCAGACGCAAAAGAAAACTGCGAAGCCTCTGACCACACGCGGCGGCCGGCCCACCCGCTCGGTGTGGCCTGTATCTTCAGCCGCCACCGGTGCCGTCTCTGCCTTGGGCAGGGTCGGTGCTGTGTTGTCGAGTGGAGCAGCCGGGCTGATCCCCAGTTGTGCCACGATTAGCGGCGGATCAGCCGGCGGTCGGCCTTACACCAATGTTGCAGCAGCGCCGTATCGGGTCGGCTCTGGCCGGGCAGCCGATACGCCGAGATTGACTGCGACAGCGGCCAGCGAGCTGAGGCGGCCGACTGCCGGGGATAGGTCGAGAGAGGGACTGGGAGAGATACTCGCCTTCCCTGGACGAAGTCTCCGGGAGGAGTGCAAGTCAGGCGGGCAATGGACAGCTCAATGAGCTGCCCCCATGCACGCACCGCTGCCAATACAGGAATGATGCTGATGCTAAGCGAAATAGCTCAAGTGAGACAAGGAACGGAAGGAAATGGGCATCGGTAAGGTCAAAGGTGCGAGGTTAAAAACAAAGTTACCGGTACAAATCGGCAATGTGACGCACAAAAATGACTATCGAAACTGAAAATCTGGAGATCAGAAGTATCCGCTTTCAGCTGGGCAATCATGTCCGAATAGTGCTAAGAGACATTGACATGTGACACCGTATCACGATCCAGGCTCGTCACAAAGTTTCACTAAACCATCAACGAAAGCCATCGCCGCTGCAGACGCGCGACGCGCACTGCGATGATTGCCAATTGTGCGTGCTGTATTTAAAGAAATCCAGAGCCGGCATTCGTTCCGCTCGATTGGAAATGACTGAAGATGACTTTGATTTCGCCACCAGTAATTCAAATGGAGGCCGGCAGTGAGAACTCAACTCAGACCCCACAATGCAGGGTGAGGAAGTTGATAGCATAGTCGAGGGGACCACTTTGTCTTTATTCGACGACACTTCTTGATGGAGGACAACATAACGTATGGCATCGGCGAATCATCACAAACCTTGATAATCTTGCAGTTTTCTCCTAACAAATACCTATTGCGTAAAGGTATTCCTCTATGGTAAATGCTGCACACTAGAAACAAAATAAATACACTCCCTATCTAGCGAGAACAACACTAAATTGGCTAGCATTTCGGCCGCGCCTTGATCACGCGCTGTGGGCCGTCATTTCTGGGCCCGCCGGCGGCCCGACGAACTCGGACTAATCACAGAGAGCGGCCACGACTCGGTACGAGGTCGGCCGGACCGTGGGGCGGCCGGACACTATACCACCGGCCCGCCGCCGGCGCGGGCCTCCCACCCCCGCCGTGGAGCTACCACCGACGGCCGGTGTCGATGGATCGCGTCTACATACACTCACACACGTACTCACACAATTCTCCTAACAAATCAGCCCATTTGGTCATCACAATGGCCGAAAATATACGCGGGCGATTTAGTTCGAGGTGCGAATCACCAGTGGCCGGTCTCACCCGGCGGCGCAGCACGCGCCACGGCGGGCACGTCTGATGGGTGATTGAGCAATGCACGTTACCTCTGGGCTGACAGGGCTGCATCGGCCGGGCGAGTCCATAACGGCGGCGCTACCGGCCGCAGAGGGACGCCGGGCCTCCCAGCCGCCACAAGGCCAGCTATTGCCCGAAGTCACCTCGGAATATTGCCTCTAGAATGCCTACCTATGTGTCCAACACGCTAATACACAGTCTGGTACCTAAATCTCGGCATTGACGGTTCCGAAGCGCGCGCACCCCACCAGGATGGAAGGGGTGCCCACACCACCCGGGGCGAGCATCCCTCCCGTGACTCCCGGCCGTGCCACAGGGGAGGGACCGCTCGGCAGTCACTGTCACGACCTAAATCACATGTCACCCGCCGGCCGCGCCGGGCCGGACCCGCCCGCCCAGCGCACTCGCCTGTACAGTGGCCAGTCACTGAGCGGGGCGCCCTGTCTTCTAGCTCTGCTGCCGCGCCGTCGGCCGTCCGTCAGCCCAGCTGGAGGCACAGCTCGGACGAGTATAGGCTGCCGGGGCCCCAGTGGACGGGCACGTGCAGCTGCAGCTGCAGCGGCGGCTCGTCGGCCGGCCGCGCCGCCCACGCCGCGCCGCACATACACGCGTCTTCTGGGTGTCACAAGTCGGGGAACCTGCGCGGAGCACACGACAGTCGGTCAGTCGACACACATCTCACATGCACGCGTCTTCTGAGGGTCACAAGTCGGGGAACCTGCGCGGAACACACGACAGTCGGTCAGTCAACATACTCAGCACAGAGTGGCATTGGACTGTGCACAGCTGAGCATTGGCCTTCAACACAATACATTTCAATCCAGATATCCTACAGAATGAACCATTTATTTTCTAAAAAACATCTCGATAACCAGCCTGACCAAGCATAGACGGTGACGAAAGCAGAAAGCATGACGGTGGGTTACGTCAGCGCCGCCTATAACATCTGTCCGCCAGCTACCCTTGCCCTCTGTGGGCCCCCGGCCCCCCACCCTGCCCGCTAGCGGCCGGCGCCCCCTGTGTCCGCCCCGTGGAGATGACTGAGCTGACTACCCTCGCCCTCTGCGGGCGCGCCACCCTGCCCGCCAGTGTCCGCCGGGGACTGACCGAGCCGGGTCCTCCGTGTAGTCAGCCGGCACCGCGAACAGGTGGCTCGGGTGGCTGTCGTCAAAGTAGAAGTCCTGGAAGGTGATTTGTGCCGTGATGGCTGGAATCAGCGGGATGTCTGGAACATAGCGCGGGCGGCACGGCGTTAGACCATCAGCGGGTAGCAACAAATACGTGACGTCGATAAAAAATCACACATCAAATACTAATCTTGTTGGGTTTCTGGTCTCTCTCCACACAGGGAAATAAATAAGATAAGGCGTAAAAATTGTTTACGGTGTCCCATTTGAGGACGATCAGCCACTGTTAAAGCTTTCGTCAGCCGATCGGTACCATGCCGTCAGCAAAATGCGGTGGGAGGAGCTTATTTTGCCTGACAACAGCACAACTGCCGAATCGGTACAGACCTTATATAGAGTGGTATCAGGCACAGTGGCCCGCAAACAAAACCAGGCGCAGTATTATGTAAGACAAACGAAACGCAAACACACTGACACAACACAGCCTGCGAGAATTACTAAGCGAACAAAAACATTTGAGATAACCTCAAGATAGAGGGGATATTTTAGGGCAGTACCTATACGTCCACAAAACTCACCGAGCTTGACGGGGAAGCCGGGCGGCAGCTTGCACTCAACGAACTGCTTCAGCTTGCTGAAGTGTTTGAAGGGCGCTATGACGTCCAGCACATCGAGCAGCATGCTGACCGTCAGAGGGAACTCCTGGCTCTGCAGAGACACCGAACGGACCCGGTTAGACCAGGACTCTGGGTTCCCACCGCCAGGGTCAGAGCGAGCTACGATTAATGCAGTAAAACACAAAATGCTCTCAATAAATCGAGGAGACAATTAAAAACGGACACGAGCACGAATAGTCCACTTGTCCAATAAAAAAGCTTTTGAAGTATCCCAATCAATCTATCATAACAAACCATAGCCTGACAAACGCCATAGACTGGTAACCAACCGTCTCCGGAGCCCACCCTTTCCCGTTCGGCCGATCTCACCATGGCCAGTGTGGCGTTTTTGAAGCGTTTGCAGCTGACTTTGGAGATGATGGCTCGTCCGACGCGCGGCGGGTTGGCCGGGTCGGCGGCCAGGTACTCCTCCCAGGAGACGGGCGGTGTGCTGGGCGGGTCCAGAGAGCTGCGGTGGGGCAGCTGCCGACACCGGAACAGTGGGTCAGACCACAGGCGGCGCGGAGACATGGGCAATACATGTGCGGGAGACCGGGCGGGCAAACAAAAACAGAGGGATGAATAATCCTATTAATGCATAACAGTGGCCTTAAGTACGACCAATATATACAAAAGAAGCCGCTACCCTGTCCGCCCCAAACTCTGTCGATACGTCCATCGGTCCATATTCTAGCCTCGCGCAATGCGCATGTCCATACTAGTCTACATGTCCGTCCGTGTCAATCCATCCGTCTGCCCCCCCCCCCCCGTCTCGTCCGTCCGTCTACGCTCACCTCTCGGACCTCCTCGGCGTCCAGCTGGTGCGCGCTGCCGCGAGTAATGGTGTCCATGAGCGCCTTGTTCTTCTGCAGGTCCTCGGCTGACAGGTGTTCGCGCCGCTTCCTCGTCTCCAGCACCACGCCGTGTACGTCGTAAAACTCGGCCTCGTACTTACCCACCGGCTCCTGACGGGGCGGCGAGGGACCATCGGTCGGGGAATGGCGCACCGGGAGGGTAGTATAGACACGGTGACACTCTATTGAGCTGAGACGGACCACGCTAGTTCTAACGGCAACCGGTATGTGCATTATGTGATGATACTAAATTTACCATTTCCTTATTAATGGGGAACGCAAAATCGGAATGATTTTAACAGAGAACTAGATAATTAATAGATTAAAAAGTTGTATGCAAGAAAGTTCGTTTGTCACTATAAAATGGTTCCAACTTTGACCCCCTGGTTGATTAAAAAAATTTGCTATTGTGTTTTTTTTTTGCTATTATTTTCAGACATACAAACATCTGCGCACATATTCTGTGTTCACCGTCGCACTACAGCTACACTAAACGGCGCCAAACGTTTAGGACAACGCCATCTATCGTGATGTGTATAAGCAGAACTCTCCCGCCTTATGAACCACCCAACACCCGTCGGACGTACACACCTTTCGGTCGGAGCGGAAGAACCAGCCCTGCTGAGCGCGGCTGAACGTGATGGACTTGGTGGACATCTGCGCCGACACGATGTCGCTGCTCATCAGGATGTCAATCTCCTCCTCGATCTCCAGCTCGGTCTCCTGGCGGCGGCAGCGGCGAGCGGTCAGAAAGGGGCACAGACGTTCAAACGAGCGCACAGCGAACTGGGCATTATTCTATGGTGCTTGGGCATGATTGGCGCTATGCTATGTGGCTCTAATACGGCGTGAATTTTAATTCATTTTAAGGACGTAGAGCTACAATGAATAACGACGCAGAGCCTTGAGATGTAAAATAATGAAAAATAACTGGCAAGCCGACGAATGAAAAATCAATGAATGGAGAAATGAATAAATCAGCACACCATTCGCCGAGTGCAACGACTGAGTAAAGCAGCATGAAACAGACATCCCCGAGCGTGACGAATCACGATAAGGCCACGACCCTCTGTTACATGATAATAACAGCGTTAGATCAGCGACAGTCGCCTGCGTAGGCAGGTGACTCAGCCGCAGCTGCGCAACTGGCTCTACACAACGAACACTACCGCTGCACAGCTCCCCATATTCCGTCCGCCCAAACAACGCCCCAGCCAGAAACAGCCCAGCGAACCACCGTAACCCCGGTCTCACACACCGTGACCCGAGCCTCCACCCCGTGACCTGCGACTCGGTCCCGCATGGCTCGCGCCGCTCCCGCCCGCAGCCCGCGGCGGCGCTCACCTCGTATCGGACGGTCTGGTAGACGCGCAGCTTGTTGTCCAGCACCGAGAGCGACTGCGACGGCGGCGAGTCGCCGTTGAACAGGAAGCTGATGTCGCCGCGCTCCCACTTGAAGTCGGCAAAGTCCACCAGCGTGGTGTCCAGTCGGATCGAGGCGCCGCGCTTGTAGATTTTGCACGTGTCCGACGGCAGGATGCGGTGAAGTAGCGGGACTGGAAACAAGCAGAGCGGCAGGTGAGCCCTCAGTCAGGAACAACAGACAACTTGGGTCAACTTACTTAGGACAGCATAGAGTTTGTAGCGTCATCATTGAGCACGCAGCATCAGTCAGGGGTATTACGAAGCATGCGTTATCAATCTACGATAACAGAAAGCCCCCTCAGTTCGGAACAACACACAGCAGGAATCATCAGCGTCAGCCATATCGTACCATCAGTATGGGTCAATATACATAGAAAGCATAAATAATCACGAGAATAACGACAGATAAGCCTACGAGCCGACAGTTACCGAGCGTCACAGCGACTCACCCCAGGTTTGGAAGTCCCATTTGATTTCCATGTAGAAGTCGGGTATCTGGTGGAGGGCGGCCACCAGCGCCGGCCGACGGCGGTCCATCTGCTCCCGTGACTGGGTCTTCAGCTTCCGCAGCAGAGACGACACTGAGAAACGCGCAGAGAGGCCATCACACGGATAGCCTCAGCAGCGACGACATTGGAGAAAGCGCTAATAGATGAAACTTACAACTTACGTATTTCCGCAGCTCAGTGACGTGATTCCGATTTGTATTTGGAGCTGGATACAGCTAAACACACTGGGACAGGGCCATTACAACTGGTGACATGTTCTTTGTTTTGTTTGTTTGTTAATTAGGGCTTTAGGGCGCGTCGACTACGTTGGTCATTTTGCGCCCAAAAGGAACGACAAATAAGCATAGCACGAGCCATGGGATCCCCACGCTGATGGACAATTCGCTGGCTTTCATGCTAGTGCGTCAGATCACCTGTTTGTCGGTCTCCGTAGCTGATGGCCTCAGCCAGAGGGCTCCAGCCGTGTCCGTTCCTGATTTTCACAGTGGCATTCCTCGCCAGCAGCAAGTGCACGATTTCTGTGGCATCGGTACAGTATCACAGGTCAGAGTTTCACGATTTTAGCCGTAACTCTCGTATTTAAAGGGGGCAGATGTGGGGGTCAGACGGACCACTATCGCTTTTTTTCACGGATAACTCGCGTCAATAGCAACGGATCGCGACGAAACACTAAGTACAATCGAGTTAATCAATTTTGCACCTCAACTGTCTCAACTGAAAATTGCATGATCTTGACCCAAATGACCTTTGACCAGTGATATTATCCTTGAGACATGTCAGGCCAGAAAAGCGATTCGAGGCTATTTCAGCACACATAAGCTATCCATTTCCAGCCTTTTTGTGATTACAAACATGCCAAACAATCAACTAGCATAGGTAGCAAAGGCAGCTTTCAGTTTTGAAAAACGTATGCCTGCCCTTACCTTTGTGGCCCAGCATAACAGCCAGGTGTAGTGGAGTATTTCCTGCAAATCAAATAACAGCAATAAAAAGCTGCATACCAAGTAGGGAAAGTGCACACCACATAATGATAATAATAATAGGAAAATTAACAGGCTGATAAGAAATATTGAGCTTTAAAGCATATTGGTCAGAGTTGAATAATGGAAATACAAACATTTACATAAAACTTGGTGAAAAACTACACATTGCTAAGAATAATAGAAAGTTGGTAAATGCATTAACAGCATCATATCAGTACATATTGCAATATTTAAGGACCAATAAATACACATTAAGAAAAAAGGTATCAGCAAGAAGTGGTATTTGTAGACATTTTGGGAAAACAGGTAGCCCAAAAGCAGAAGTTCAACTTAATGAAAGAAAAACTTACCATGTTTATCTTTTCCATCTATGTCATGCTGCCTCAGAAGATTGGGTATTTTCTTAATTTTTCCCTTATAGACACATTCATGGAGTGGATATTCAGTTCTTGACAAGGCATCACTGCTATCTGTAGTTTCCAACGCTGGAGCTGCAGAATTGGACTGTCTGGCTGCCATCATTTTAGCATCAACTGAGGTACCATATATGATGCAGTTCACTTCAATTTATATTGGATGGATCTGAAATAAATAAGAATATTTATTGATTATTATAGCAATTTTGGCTCTATCTCTACCACATTAGCCATAATTGTAATAAGCTAGGTTAACCCGCGCCCGGCTGGGGGTTCTGGATTTCCACGCCCTGCTGGGGGGAACCCCCCCCCTTCTAACTCGGCTCCTGGGCCACGTAGCGATACGCGGCGTTCGAAAGAGCGTCAAAAATAATGAGGAATTCACTTCGGTCAATTTTTTGGTCAGGTCAAAGGTCAGGTCACCAGAGGTCATTGAAGGCAAAATTTCGTCGATTTCCACGTCGAATGTCGACAATTTCCAAGAAGCCAACGCATAACTCGGGAACCAATAGAGCTACAGCGCCGCAGAAAAGCGCATTCGATAGCCCTATTAACGCCCGTTCTGAATAATTTACTCAGATTTGACCTAACGTCAACGGTTTTGCCTGCAGGGGGCAAAAACTGCAAAAATAGCCGATTTTTTTCGGAAACAGTTTTTCTGCAATAACTTTTGACCCAAGCCTTGTACGAGCTTACTTTTACCGGCATCATGTTCCTCTCGTCAAGACGCATCGAATGACCTATAACTTGACCTTGAAAGGTCAACTTGAAAATTTGACCTCAGGTCAAGGTCATGACCTGACCGGAAAGGGTCATGTTGCATATCAGTCGATCCGTATCGTCGAGCTGAACACATCTAAGGCGTTTTCATCGCTCTAGCATGCCTCTATCAAAATTTATTTGCGAAAAACTGTTAGATACCATTCGTGACCTAAGATGACCTCGGGGCATAAACAGGGGTCACGGACACCATTTTCATGTTCAGTGTGTCTAAACCACTTGTAATTCAGCGTTTGGGAGTGTTTATAATGTCTTTCATCCAAAAGAGGCGCATTTCAATTTTCTCCCATTGACTTATAATGGGGAGGTCGCAAAATTGACCTGACCTTAAGTCATCGATATCGAGATTCTGAGATAAACATTTTGTACATGCTATTGCTCTTAGCAATCGCTGAAAGTTTCAAAGCGATCGGTTACTCGGTGTAGCTATGACAGACATTGAAACTTTTTATGAGGTGAGGTCACTTCAAGTGACCAGGTCCTTGAATGACCTTGGTCTGAATTTTTAACAACATGTGTAGAATTGATGTATGATAAGGTGTACCTTTTGAGATATTCGCGAAAAACCACAAGGGGGGGTGTTCAAACACCCCCCCAGCAGGGCGCGGGTTAAGTTATGTGATAAGTCCCCCATTCATGCCCTCTGATTAAATTCCTGAATGAGTTACTTGATTTTGAACGATCAGATGTAAGTAGGTGATCCATGAATGATGATATTTATATTAGGAAATTCACCATGATTCAATGACATCATCGTTACATCACAACACGTGAGCCACACCCAGAATTCAAATATGTTTCAAAATACATGTTCATTGAAGACATTTCTAATTTCAATTTGTACCAATCAACTATCAGGCATAGGTACCAAAAGAGCAAAGAAAGTTTGCATGGCTTTAAAGTCATAGAGGGATCCTGTATGAACAAATATCATGTTTTGCTCTTTTACTTGAAAACCATTCCTTCTGAGTTAAATTTCTACACTGGAATATGACAATTTATTTATAGCAATGGCAAGAGGACCAGAGTGAAGAGGGTAGAGACAGGTAATGCATATAAATCGCTCGACCAGATACAGATCTGGTAGGTATCAGTGTCCTGATCTGTCAGTACAGATCAATCAGTGTCCTGTCAAGTGTCTACCATACCGGTCACCTGCTTTACACATATTAGTAGTCAAATATTGACATCTACATGAAAGGGAAACAATGAAATTAAAATGAAAATTGAGATAAAAATTATGTAGCTTACACCTATCTTCAGAACCTATCTCAATTAATTGCTTATTAATAAAGCCAAAGAAAAGATAGCTGTACACCAATGAGTGTAATTTTTCAAGCAATCGAAAGTACAGCAAAACAAAGAAAAAGAAGTCCATGAGTTTATTTCTATGAATAACACCTACAAAAAACGCCCTTATTCACCTTTTCACTCACACAAAACACAAAAGAGCACCTATCGAATGGAGTAATCAAGGAACAGAGAAATCTCGGAAGTCTCCAATCTTGATGTTGAAAAAAATAAAATTACGTCATCAATGATAAACGATTGTCTGCGATTTCTTCTTGTTTTGTTGAATTTCTTTGCTGTAAAAATTAGATGGTCATATTGAAAATAAATTTTGTCAAAAACTTTGTAAGCTATTTGTATCTTTATTTATATCTTATTATATTGATCATAGATAAACACTTGGTAGTGAAACAGAAACAATGATGTCATGATTCTGCAAGTAATATAAGTCGGGTTAAAATGCCTATTTGAATCTTGGGCGAAACCGGCGCGGATAAAGTGTAAGGTGGTAAAAGTTCGGGGATAAAGCGTTATCTCTAATCCATGATAAAGCCTTGGGATAATCGCCTTGGGATAACCCAGGATAACCCACAAAACCTTGACAAAACCAAGGCCCTAAAACATACCGGTAAACGGACAAAACCGATAAACCTGTGTAGTGTAAGCTTGGTGACGACCTTGTTTAGATAATTTAAATACTGGATGAATTTTAGGGCAGGGTTTACATTTGATATCTGCTCATTAGACATTATGTACGTAACTACGTATCTATGGCGACTATGGCACAAGTTGAAGTTAGCCGATTTTGCAAAATGGATTTGCTCCAGCATAACATTTTGGTTCAATATAATTTAAAATTGTTAATAATAGGATTAAGTGCTAGCTGAAGCCACACTAAAGCCATATATAGATAAGTTTGTATCCAGACTAAGAAGTCCATGGACACGAGTTGTTGGTAACCAGACTGGAAAAAATACATGTTATGCCGAATATGTCCGGCGTAGTGGCGGGATTGCGCCAAAATTTCAGCGCACGTCCGGCGTAACTTCGCATGCACCGAATTCAGCGCATGGCAGCGCCAGCGGACGAATTGTTGGGCGCCGGGCGATCACATAATTTTTTGGCTTAATATGATCACCGAATTTATGCGGTACGCTGGACCCTCGGCATGGAGCTAGCTAGCTGAACAGGTTGTTTATTTCCATGGTCCATGAAAGCCCAATGCCTCAATACGCTTAGCGCACTGTAGCGTCGTGCCGTGAAACAAGGCTGGAGCTGGAAGTTTCAGGGCCACACAAATCGGCGGAGCGGTGTGTTCGAGGCTGGCGGGAGCCAGCGAGGGCCGGGCATCGGAGCAGCACGTGCTCCGGCACATCAGTCTCTTCTCGGCACACGGGCAGCAAAACTTTACAAATATCAGACAACTTTGCTGATGAATATTCAGGGAAAGAGTATGGACAAAGTCATATGAAGACAGAGAATTGCGATGGATGAACAACTCTACCGTTGAGGAATGTTGCATTACCTACTCTCATTGATTCCTTCTTCCCTTCTTCGCAGAATCGCAGTAGCGGACTATGGCAGGCATGGAGCTGGAGGTAGCGCCGTTACGGAGCTTCGATGACTTCCTGGCACACTCGGCTCGCTTCCAAATTCCCAACTACCGGGAACCGGAGAAATGGACGAACCGTGTTCTGCAGAACCTGCTCTACTACCAGACCAACTACTTTGTCTCAGCGGTGATCATCTTCACCCTCGTGGGGTAAGTGCTGCAGCTAAATCACCTGGCGATAAAACCAGTATAACGCTTTTTGGGGCGACTAACGGAGCGAGCGAGAGGATGGGCCTTGCACGTGCGAAATTGCGAGGCGGTACCTCCAACTGACTTGTGCACAGCACCCTACTAACCGGTCTCTAGCGATGTGCCAAATTTGAGCACAATCGGCCCAGCCGTTCTCGAGATCTGGAAGCGGCACCCTGCACGTGCGCACGTGCAAAGTGGGTCCCAACTGACTTGTGCACGGCACCCTACTAACCGGTCCCTAACCGTGTACCAAATTTGAGCGCAATCGATCCAGCCGTTCTCGAGATCTGGAATCGACCCATGCACGTGCGTACGTGCAGCAGCACCCCAACTGTGGCACATGCAAATGCATTGCCTAGTGGGTGCCTACTGCCTACCTACATGCCAACTTTCAGCGTAATCGGCCCAGTAGTTACCGAGACATTGCAACTATTACAAAACTGGCACCTCTAACGAACGTTTTGCACGTTGCACGTGCATAAGGGGTCACCCACATGCACCGGGAGTAGTTCAATACTTGGTAGAAGGAATTAAGCTACCCTAAAAGAATTACCGCATGTAAATCGGTCAAGTGGTTGCTGAGATATAAGCGTTGTAAAAGCGTGACCACGGCCGGCCGCTCATACTAAGAAATTTCCGTTATTTTACGTAAGACTCCGCTCGCTTCGCTCGCTCCGTAATTAATGGTGTGAAGTAGCGAGGAACGAGCATTGTTTTTACTTCTTCGAGGAAAAGATCAATTGATTCTTCGCGTATTTATTCTCACCTGGCGTTAAGTCTGCTATAAAGGGAGCAGATTGCACCATGCTGATTGTGCTGTATCTTATTGAACTGGTTTCGATGCTGGCTGCTGGTGACTCCTTACATAGATGTGTATTGTATATAAGTAGGTACTCTTTTATATCTCGTTTGACCCACTGTGGCTCTCGCCGTATCACACTTCGCAGTATCGATGTTTTTTATACAGAATCCCGATCACTTCTGGCCGCTCACTGCACTCTATCCGTGAATAATAGGACCATTGATGTACTGCTCACCGTCCCCGCCCCAGGATGATAAGTGAACGGCAGACCATCCGCCCCAGGGTGATGGTGGATCGTTGACCGCTGTCCGTTGACCGCTGACCGCATGGGTGTACCGTTGTCGCTGACCGTCTTTGCCCCAGGGTGATGCACCCGCAGCAGTTTCTGTGCGGGATGGCGGCGCTGGCCGTGCTGTTTGCCGTCTTCTACTATGTCACCAACCGGAAGGCGATGGCGTCCCGCTTCCGGCGCGACCACCCGCTGCTCAGCCTGACCATCATCCTCACCGGCGGCTACTTCATCATGGCCATGCTCGGATCCGTGCTGGTCTTCCTGCTCGGCATCTGCCTGCCGCTCTTCGGTAAATGACGGCACTCTCATACACACACACACACACACACGCACGCATACACACACCGGTGTTTCTGCTCAGTGCTCGGGATCTGCCTGCCACTCTTTGGTAAATGACGTCACGCGTTAAATACACCGGTGTTTTTGCTCGTCGTCTAACTGCTGCGCTTCGGCAAACGACGCCACTCCTATACTATGCATATAACACAAACGTATACGGCACACGCTCATTTGAGAGGACGTGTATAATACATATCATTATATATATACATCGTGTATATATACATCACTCATTAGGGGTTGGATTTTGTCTTGTCTCGTTGCTTCCGCGAAATGTGCTTGCTGTTTACGGAATCCTCGCTTAATAGTTACGATGTTTGGTGACTGTCAAAGGGCTAGTGAAGTATATGCTATTGGGGGTACTGGCACGAGACTTCATAAAGTCAAGTCATCGCATACCATCACAGATGTGCGAAATCGTTTGGGCCTTTCTGATGGTATTTATTTCACCGAACGGAATGTCTCAGTGTTGAGTGTAGGTAGTGGCACTTTGACGGCCGGCCACCGTCCCTCCGTCCGGCTGTGCCGGCTGTGGTGGCCACCACTCCCTCCGCTGACCGGCCGTGCCTCCTCCCTCCCCGTCTGCCTCCCAGCGGTGCTGCTACACGCCTCGCTGCGACTCCGCAGCATCAGGAACAAGCTCACCAACCGCATGGAGTCGGTCGGCATGCGCCGCTCGCCGATGGGACTCTTTCTTGACGAGCTGGGGATGGAAAGCGACAAAGTTGTCATGTGAGCAGGCTCAGCGTCACCTGAGAGATGGCTTGAGGTCATGTGTGGGGTCTTGCGTCGCTTCTTGCCAGTTCGTGCTATAGCAATTGAGACGCTTTATTGCTGAATGCGAACGCTGAAATCTGATTTGCTGCCACTTGGGGGAGGGGGGGTTGTATGTGTGCCATAATTTACCGGTTTAAGGTTATGCTATCGGGCTTATATAGCAGAGTTGAAGGACAGAGGCATACGTTTTGGTCATATTTGTTTTATTGCGTATGAAGCTGAGTGTTTATTCCTTTTACTGTTGATTCCAAAGTCATTCCAGAAATGGCCATGATATTTTCTAGTGTGCTGTGACATATCTTATTTATATTCGTATGTGCATTGTGCGTATCGGTGATGCCAAAAGAATGTTATTTACGGTTGGCTGGCCAGTGCTCCTGTGAGCTCGCCATTGGTTCGACGGCCAGTGTTTGCGTGTGTTCGTTATGATCAGACGTTGGGACTGGTGGGCAGCTGTTACCTAGTGATGAGATGTCCAGGCGCTTGCGCTGGTCATCGGGAATAGGAATATTCTGATGTAGCCTGGTCTACCGGAGAGGAGCATGTCTGTGTAGAAGGAAGCAATACCAACTGATTTGTAAAGGCAGCGTTATGTTATGGACCTGTGCCGTGTCATCGTATTTTGTCTATTGAGTGCGACGTTTTGAACGAGGGATAGTGAACTCTCCGAATTCTTATGAACGGTGGCTTATTCCATTTTTGCTTACGGTAGTAATACAAAACTCGTGATGAACTCCAATTTCTGTCGTGTTGGACCATTAATCTTTCTTATGGTTGATTTCTCCCGATCTGTGTGCGTTGGGGGCGCGATGGATGCTCGATCTCCGACTCCGCCTTCCGTCGTGCGCCAGCCAGAAAAAGGGCACATCCAATAGAAGTGAGGACACTGCCTGATTTTCACCGACCTGAAGCCAATTTATGCGAGGTACGCTCGAGGTTCATCAGGCACTCATCTCAGTTTTCATCAATCTATGTTTGTTTGTTGGGTTAGGCCCTTTCGGTGTAAAGAGACCATTTCAGAGCCGGAAGGATGATAGGAATTAGGGGGAGACATTGGTCTGGGCAGGCACCCTAGTGAGTCGCCGGGGCTGAGCCCGTCCAGAGGACAGGCCACCCAGCTCCAAGGTACTCACTGCACCCGGCTACGGGGTGCGTTCCCTCGGGAGCAGCGCCCAGCGGTGCCGCTCCAAGGGAGCAGCCCGCATGAGATTAAGTTGCCTGTCCAGCCCGGAGGGGTTGCGGCGTGGATGAGAAGGATTTCAGTATCCTGAGGATAGAAGCACGGAACGGGGTGATCAATCTATGGATACTCATCCGTGGTGGCCGAGCCCGCTACGAAGTTTGGTGCTGGTGCGGAGCCTTGTGAAAGCGACTTTCTCACCACCGGCCCATCCATCTTATGGGCTCGCGATTCTATAAGACTGAAAGAAGTCGCAGCTAGTATCTTTCCATACCCAATTTCAGAGGGAGCCGTATTTCATCCACCTATACATCGCCTCGTTCGATGAAGAGGGAGCTGGCTGCTGGTCCGTGCGGTCCGTGGGTCTGCGCAGGTCTGCGATCATCAAGCGGTTTGCGGCAGCCTCTGCCATCTGGCGGTGATGAGAGTAACTAGTAGTCCGGGTCCGCGGCTTGACCGGAAAGGAACCGTTTCCGTGGAGGAAACAGAAACAGAACAGTTGGGCAAACTAGGCGGCGGGAATCAAAATATGGAGGCATCAAAATATTGATTCTAGTGGGCGGAGCTTTGACCATATATGGGCATACGTGCAGACCATCACAGAAACGTCAATTCTTCAGCAACCGGCTACAATTTCAAGATAGTTTCTTCACAAAATGAAGAGCAACGTTGAAGCTACCCGCCAGGCACGAAACAATAGCCCTAACCTCTTAGGTTAGTTTAGGAAAGCGTCTTGAAAATAATCAAGATATTGATTCATCACGGCGGCTAATCCCGGCGAGAATCAATATTTTGATTCCGCAAACAGCTGGCTAATCATTATTTTGATTCTGAAATCAGCTGGTCTATCAATATATTGATTCTGCGAACTGACTTTCTGCAGATGTACTTCACTCTTCAAATTGATTTATGGAACGTTTCTTGTGTGCAAATAATGCAAATTCAATAAATTCATGAAGATATTATCAGCACAGGATCGTGTAATTTTTTTCTAGACCTTATTCCCACGGTAGACCAGGGATTTTCAGCACTCACCCTAGCTCCCTGCTCAAAGCTGCAAGCCTTCGAGGGAATGCGTGAAGGGAGCCGTGCTGACCTTTGTATAGGGGTTGTACTGAGTCGGAGCCGGAACCGAAGCCCGACCATTTTACTCGGAGCCGGAGCCGGAGCTGGAGCTGATTTTTTCCTCCGGAGCCGAAGCCGTCTGACATTTTCACGGCTCCACATCCCTGCTTTGTAGCATTGATTTTGAGTAAAAAAAAGTTAACTTATCGTCTTTCACGTGTTCATGAATGTGTTTCTACGCATCTGTGTCCCGTCCCATTTCTGTGGAGTACAGTAAGAGATATTTCGCCGAACAATATACTCAAGCCCGTTGCACAAATTGCACAATTTGAATGAAAATATGATACACGGATGTATTTGCATTCGCAAATAATACGATGATATTCATAACACATTTCACAAAGATCCCTGCAATTGCCACACATTTGCCATCACAAAGCCCTGTCGTTGATGCTCACATCCCATGCAAAGCAATACTCACTTTTAGGACACGTCTCTTATTCAATATGGCTACGTATTTGCAAAACATGCAGTTAATAATATTTGAAACTGAGACCTAACCAATAAGACATACCGTGGACAGGTAAGAAAAACAAATAAACGTCTGGAGAATGACCTCAACGTCTCGATGTTGCCTAATTACAAAGAGCAATTTTCGGTTTCGAATCAAATACATGAAATAAATATAAACAAAATTTGTACAGATACACTCAATATAGGGTTTATGATTAGCACGGCTACCTAAAACATCAATCCTGTCAGGTTGAGCCACTTATGTCCACACCCAAAGCAGGTCGCTTTGGAACACCACAAGATCCCATATTACCACCGAAAACGGTCACCAATTGGTCTACTGATCAGCATCTTCAGAACATTCTCGACCGAAAAGCTATCAGTCCTGTCTGTGTTTTGGTTCGCTTCATTTGGGCTATGCGCACGTTTTTCTACTCCGGTTCTAGGGACGAGATAGCAGTCATCACGCGCTGCACCAGCTCGTTCTTTGACAGGTTGGTGACGCTGTCGTCATCCGGCAGGATAAACACGTGGCGCATTTCACCCTCGGCCCCGCCAGCCACATACACACTTCCTTACGTCATATTGTTTCTCGCTACGAGATCAAAGTTCAAAAGGTCGTGATGTAGGTAGTCTCCGCCCAGCCCGAGTCAGGTACTCCACCGGTTGGTCGGGTGCGGCCAGGTCCGCGCAACGCCGCCCTTCTTCGGTCGACGCTCTGGTTGACAGGGATGGCGTTGTCATACAGTTGCCTGTCGACTGAACAGCGATTCAAGACGCCATCCTTGACCCTCTGAAGCTGATCCCCGCAACGACCAGTGTTTGAGCCTTGGTTGACCTGCAGCAAACAACAGAACAGAACACAATAATTAGGACATTTGTGGACAATAAATTGGGAAACTATATGTGTTATTATTCTATTCGTTCAGCAACTATTAATTTTAGAATATATTCAATAAAAAATTAAATACTTAATGTCACTTAAATTTCCACTGAACGTCACCAGGTGCGCCAACAACTGTCATCTCATGCAGTTATATAAATTCTGCCAAAAAAGTAGATCTGAGGCCAGTTGTACCAACAGAAAAATAGGTGGCTGCCGGATTTTTTTTGTCTTAAAGTTACTTCACATACAGAGCATGAACGGTACAGCCCTATCCGTTTACGTGCCCATCATGTAACGCTCCATATGTGAAGCAGTCTTTAGGCAAAAAATTCCAGCATGCAACTATTTGTGTTGATAAAACTGGCCTCTAAAATTAACTTTGGCATGGACAATCCTGAAAATTAACTATCCAGCATTCCCTGGACTGACGTACATTAGACACATAATTTTCTTGAAGATCACGCATAATGTAAATATGGCTTACACCATTCAGCAACTTGCTTTTGTTGCACTTACAAATTAAAGTTGTAGCAACAATTGGGTGAGTGAGACACAAGCAGAGGCTAAAACATCCAAATTATGTAAAATACTGGACATGCACTGCCCCCATTTCATGAGTCCACCCAACAATTCTATCATGTGAGACAAAACATTAGGCTTCTTGTAACTAATTTATACCGTAACTTTTAAAGGACATCATATTTCACTGAAATACTACACCTAAGACATCATTTTCAAAAAAATATAGCTTAAAAAGACAACAGAAAAGTGAGAAGGCGTCCCGCGCCGCTGACGTCGCTACCGCGCCATGTTCCTAAAACCATCTCTTAAAACGAGTTTTCGGTAAGAAACGTTAAGATCACATGCCTGAAATTGAAAAACACACTTCAAAGTATCTTAAAATGTGATCCATTGTTACTTACACTTCAGAAAAGGTCGCTTAAACAAAATAAAACCGGGAGCACTACGTTGCATCCAAACACCCACGACGCCGGCGCGAAATGGCGGGAACCGGAAATCGTGGCTAGATACAAAGAAAAAGAATATTTCTTATAAATGAATTATACAACTAAATAACGCATTTTTTATTTTCTTTTAGACAAAATTATGAAAAAATGACAAAGGCTCGTCGTTAATGATAAACAGAGCAAGTTTTAACAGCACGTTTTTGTTGAATTATGGCGGCGAAATCTTTATGCCATCCGTAAAGGTACGCGCGACAAACGGCTGATAGCCATGCAGCGAAAAATTGAAGCGGGGAAGTTTTTTGTATTGACTTGGCGAAAAATCTCGCCGTCATGGGGGTTATTTCCGCCGTAACGGGTCGTCTGAAGGTGGGAACGTCCCAAATTGAATCAAAATATTGATTCTATGCCCATATATGGTCAAAGCTCCGCCCACTAGAATCAATATTTTGATGCCTCCATATTTTGATTCACGCCGCCTAGTTTGCCCAACTGAGAAACGACAGAAACTGCAGAGCGCGAGAGCGGGCCCGTGCCAGTGCGCGATCTGTCATCAAAACCTGTCGCTGTGAAAGTGGGAGGCGTGGCTTACTTTGTTTATACAGTGGCAGGGTTGTAAGTAATCGAGATTGTATTGATTGCGATTTGATTCGAACTCGAGTCGTGTTTTGTTCAATTTCTATTTACTTGTATACCTTTTATCGTCTTGGGATTACAATTCGATGTCATATATCAATATTGCTGTTGCTGTGGTGTGGATCGAAAACTGATGGGACAGGCTTTTTATTGAAAATATCCTTGTAACATTTGACTTGTGTGCTCTTATGGAAAATATTTGTTTTTAACTGCTTAAGTGGGTAGTCTAGCACCGTTCCTGTGAATCAGTAGGTTGAGGTGTGGATATTTTGCTGGAAAGCTAACCATGATGTGTTACAAACCATTGGGCTATTAAATTGAATATTGTTTGGTAAAATGATATTTTTTCCGAAGCTTTAGATTTTTGGCACTATTTATAATTTACTTTCTCAGGTACCTAATCAAGCTATTACAATTAGGGTGTGGCTAGATTCAACGTTTCCTGCTTTTCGTTCCAAAGATCCGTGTGCAGCATGAGCAGTGAGTGAGTATTAGAGAAGTTGCCAGCTGCATTTATTCTTAGTCCAAAGTCATCCATGAGATTTGCCAACCACACTAACCCCGCGTTCGATGTCTCTCGGACGACGAAGATTCTACGTCGTCCGGCCAATCCTGTCCAAGGTCAGCGGGGGCTCGGCAGCGGTTCTGGAACGTGATTGGCCGGACGGCGTAGAATCTTCGCTGTCCGGGAGACATCGAACGCTGGGTAAATATGTTTTTTTTTGTTCGGGCCTGTCCAAATGGCAGATATGCCAATTAGGAGAGAGCACAGCTGCTTCTCCTCGTCCTAACCCTACACCCAGGCTGCGGCTGAAGTGGGAGCCTACCCCACACCTGGTGATACAGCCGGGGACGATGCCTGTGGAACGGGCAGAATCAGGAATTGAACCCGAAACCTGTCACTGCACGCACCGCGGGATGACACCTTAACCGACTGTGCTACCGGGGCCGCATAGGTACTTGTGAAAAATATCACCCACCTTAATCAGATATCTTCTTGCACATCATCAGTTATTTTTTCATGAGGTTTGTAAAGTTTACTGCAAACTTTAAAGGAAAAATAGCCTGATTTGAAAGTAGAATTGAAAGTTGAAATAGTCTTAGTTCAGTTGTACTGAACTGGGTTGCTCTAATTGTTATTTTTAGTTGGATTCTTGATTTTTTTTAGAGGTTTTTATATAACACCTACTGATGTTTTAAGTGTTTATTCAGCATTCACTTCTGCCCTAAAGTGCTCATGTCATTTCTCTACTGAGTGTATCTAAAACAAATTGAACAGAGGTAGGAGGGAAACCTTATCCATATGGTATGGCTTGGCAGAGGCTGTTGCCATACTATTGCTGCTATTGCATTGCAGCCTGAATTGCAGCACTATGCTGTAATCACCACACCATTTGCAAGGCTTATGTCCATGCATAGAATATAGATACAGAAATCAAAATTATCAAGTGTCAACAATGATATTCTTATTTTCGCGAAGTTTTCTCTTTATTTTAAATCTTGCAAATAGAAGTTGTGAGGATTGTGTTATGTTGGTGCTCACTGCTCATGGTTGAGGTTCATAAAAAAGCTTGGGATTATGATTGTAGTGTGCTCTTTAGTATTTCCCTCTCCACTTTCCTCCAGCACAGCAGTGTAATTGGTAGTATGTGAGTGAGATTACCAGCTAATGAATAATGCCTGCACTGCCAGCTTGGCTGTGCTAGTTTAACTTGTGATGGTTGATGACCTAAATTTACAGCAATGTAGCAGTTATAGTTACCTATACCTAGCTTGCATCATCAAGTACCTAGCTAGAAAAAGTATTACAAATAAACATATGAATTGATAGCTCTCTTAGTGCTGTGTCGCTAATTTGTCCTCAGTGTTGACCATGGTCATTTGCCATCCAGATTGCAAACCATAAAAATTGCCATTTTTGAAGACATATTTTTGTAGAAATGTTTTTTTTCTGTAATGGCTTTTGATAAAAATGTTCAATCACATTTTGTTTAGTATCAGGGTATTTCTCTTGTTGATATGTGTCAGTTTAACTATTCAGCTGCAGTTGCATCTGCTTCATCTCAGCACCTGCAGTTCAGCTACACTACCATTGACTCATAAAGGAGAGGTTGCAAAATAGACCTGAACTTTGGTTAGGTCAGGACTTTGGGATGTATATGGCCAAGATTCCTGTTAATCTCATTGATGGGTGGATATTTTCAAAACAATTTCGGTGTCAGTGTAGTTATAGGGCAATTAACCCTCGCCGGCCGAGTCACGGTGGTGGGGGGGGGGGGGGGGGGGAAGGCAGTTTTTTTCGCGAAAGCTCCGAACACGCTGGCGGCAGAGAGCTGAAACTGGGGTAGGTACCTCACCTTAGATTCAAGCCGGATCTTGTGACACCAACCTCATTTTCAGGTCAGGTCACTGACTCATGGCGTCATAACTGAACCTCTGCACAGTCCCCAGGTGTCGCAAATTCGCAACGCCCTCAGTGCCAGATGAATTTTCACAGGGAGATGAAACTTACAGGACGTAGTATCCTCCAGAGGTCTCACAACGTTTATATCTATGATTTTTCCTGAAGGTCACATGAGGTCTTGTCTGTCATGTTACCTCACCATTATGTGACCTCACTAGTCACTATTATGAGTCCATGGGGAAAAATGAAAACTGATATTTTGGCGCTGGGAACGATCTCAAACTACCTCAATCACACGAAATCGTGATTTCATGCACTCCCTCCTTGCAAGGTCCGATGCATCACATTTTGCGTTGTTGACCTTGTTGACTTGTCATAAGATTTTTCCGTCAATAAATCCCGATCGTCAATAAATTGAGCTACTGAGTCGGGAAAGCTACTAATAGATTCGGGAAGACGTGATGAATCGAATGGTATACGATATGACCTCCTTAGACCAACTTCGTGACCTGGGGGCTCTGACCTGACCTTGACCCTGTCAACACCTCAAGTTGACCTCAACCGAACAAAAAGTAGACCATTGACGCGCTTGAGCGAGGCGAACACGATGATGTCAAAATCGCGGGCTCTGCGACCGTTTTTTGCGAAGTTATAAAAAAACCGAACCCGTGCCTTGGGCCACTTGACCTGACCTCAGAGGTTACCGGTTGACTTGAGACCCGGCTAAAATCGGGTATCAGTTGCTGCGTTTGTAACGGCGCACACGCTCGTTTTTTCCGCGATGCTCTAGCTCCATCAGGAGCGAAAGGGCGAGATGGGGGGGGGGGGGGGTCGTATAGCCCCCTTCCTCGGCCGACGCGTATGTAGAAAACCAACAGGTCCGGTGCGGGCTAAATTGTTGATATGCTTTTGACTATCGGAAAACGGTGCTGCATCAGTCGAGTTGGACCGTATTTTAACTCGGCAATGTGCGGCGTAAGCTGATACCGTTTCGGCCCGGCGCTATTGTCGTGCAGCGCGCGTGTCGCGGGGTCGGCGGTAGCGTACACTGGGCGGCTGTCACTCGTAGTTGCCCGGTCTGCCCCACCCCTCCCCCTCCCCCGTTTGTACGAGAATGAAGCAGTCGTGTGTATGTATGTATGAGTGTTGGGAGTTTGCAGCGGAATGCAATCGGACTCGGTGATGTGAACAGGCTGTGTGTAGGTCCATTGGAAGTGTCGCCCGTGGATGTAGAATCACGGAACGTGATTCGGGCTATTGTAACCGACTTCAAAGGATCGTTGCGTTGATGACATTTTTAGCGCTGGTATTTTAATGCCACAGGTGCGTCCCTACGTCGTGACTAATTGAGGCGTCATACCTTTTAAAAATCGTTTGTTACAAATAAGCCTTTATTATGTGGTATGCTAACAATCAGCAACTTTTCCAGAACCAGACAATGGTATAACGAAACGCGAAGATGGCATTTTTTAAGAATTTGAAGAATCTTTTTACTGGTGGCAGCGAGAGTGCCTCTAAGAAGCGGCGCGTGCTGCACAATGTGAAGGTCGGGATCGACCCGGAGGCCGTCTGGGAGCTCCAGGGCGAGCTCGGAGATGGCGCCTTCGGGAAGGTCTATAAGGTAGCTGTCGATCGTCAGACCTTTTTTTGTTATATCCTGTGCTAGTTTTATTTTATGTAAGCTCTAAAGCTCGACGCGACGTGTATTGAATGTCGTGATCGTGTCAGCTTTAGTTCATCGTCTATCACCACTTTTATGTATCATACTAGTATCAATAACTGTGTCACGCTATTCAGCCGTCATTCAAGCGACTGTTTTCCTATAATTCTCCTATGCTTTTACACTTATTTGATGCATATGGGCTGTTCATTTTCCTGTCTGTTTGATGTTGTTTTTTTCAGGACCTAACTAGTCGTCTCCGATTCCGGTTTCTAATTTAAACGGTGGTTACCTATTGCATAACACGGCCACGTGACAAATATGAATGCCGCAAACTCAACTTTGCATGTGCGTTAGTCGTACCGATTTCCATTTATATGCCATAGCTGATCCTTCGTTCCCCTCTATGTAGGTACCTATGTAGGAAGCGGGGCGTCGAAGTTTTGTTCCCTGTGCAGACTGTCGTTGTTTTCGTTTGGTGTTTCGATGTCGATCAATCGGGCCCGGTGTCGTTCCCTCCAGTCTAACCGCTCCGTTCAACGGAGTCGGGTTCTGCTTCCAGACTGACCTGTGTGCCCCCTCCCCCCCCCCTCCGTAGGCGGTGCACCGTCAGTCGTTCCAAGTGGGCGCCGCCAAGGTGTGCGAAATGGCAGAGGACGACGAGCTCGACAACTTCATGGTCGAGATCGACATCCTTACAGAGATGGACCACAAACACGTGGTCAGACTGCTGGACGCCTACCTGCAGAGAAAGCAGCTCTGGGTGAGTCGCACCGCTGCCCCTCCCTCTCCTCCCCTCCCGTTGTCCTCCCATACCTTCCTCTCCTTTCTCTTTTCCTCTGGGGTCCGCTATTTGTGCCGCGAGGCTGTCCAGCCGACTGCAGGGGCGGGACCGCCGCCCGTCGCTAAGGTAATCGGCAAGCCGAGTGCATACTCAGACAGTCGGTCAGAAGCCTTGGGAATGCGCCTTACGGCAGACTTTTCAGTCGTTCGGTATTGATTAGGAAGCCGGTCGGTGGTCGGTGGTTGCAGGTGTAGTCGATGAGACAGCGTCTGGAGACCTGACTTGCAGCAGCTGTGTAAAACCGCAGTCTGCCGCACGGTGGGCTCTGATTTAACCCATACTACAAGCACGACTATCAGAACAGATATGGTAGAAACGTACTCTTATTTAACTTTCGATATAAACAGCTTGTTTGACGGTATTTAATTGCTCAACACTTTAGCTAGAAATCGAAGGACCATGGGGCATGGATTGATAAATGACGGCTATCGTGTGTCTTCCCGGTGCGTTGACACCACCTGTCTGTTTGTCGTGCAGATGCTGCTGGAGTTTTGTGACGGCGGTGCCGTCGACTCGATCATGGTCGAGCTGGACCGCGGACTGAAGGAGCCCCAGATCGCCTACATCACCCGTGGCATGGTGGAGGGCCTCGAGTACCTGCACCAGCACAAGGTGGTCCACAGGGACATCAAGGCCGGAAACGTGCTGCTCACCATGGACGGAGGCGTCAAACTCAGTGAGTATCTGGACGCCAACCTCGTCAAACTGAGGTGTCTGAGTGTTGGAGACTTTTGAGCTTTGAGTGTTTGGGTGTCGCCACCGTCAGCCGGCGGCGCCAAAGTCAGTGAGTGTCTGAGTGTCCGAGTTTCTGCTGCTGTCATCCGGTCGCCGGTGCCGATGGAGCCGGTGGAGCTGCACTGCCTTGTCTCTGTCTCGCTGAAAAGTATAGCCTATTTTGGCGCCACTCTATTGTCTCCAGCTGCCCACCATTGCATCTCCTCCTCCGATGCTTACCGTAACATCCTCCCCCGCAGCCGATTTTGGCGTGTCTGCCAAGAACAAGCACACGCTTCAGAAACACACGACGTTCATCGGCACGCCGTTCTGGATGGCTCCCGAGGTGATCATCTGTGAGACCTCGCTCAGCGACCCGTACGACCGGCTGGCAGACATCTGGTCACTGGGCATCACCATGATCGAGTTTGCGCAAAAGGTGAGCGGGAATACCGGGCTGCGGCGTCAGTCGGAGCGGTCCGCTAGCGTGTTGTGTTGGAACGTAGCTGTATTGACTTTAGTGGTTTTTTGCTATTCGGTTAGAATGACGCTGCTTTTTGGCCAATAGTCGCGTAATTTTGTTTTGCTTATTCGGACATTATTTTGACGCCCCAAAAAGAACCAGCCTTGTTTGTGCCACTATTTAATGGCGAAAGCGCGCACTATATTTGACATGTAACCGTGATTTTTACCTATCCAGGAGCCGCCGTACAACGAGCTGAACCCGGTGCGGGCGATGCTGCGGATACAAAAGTACGACCCTCCGACCCTGGACCGGCCGAGCCAGTGGAGCCGAGAGTTCAACGCCTTCATCGCCGCCTGCCTGAAAAAGGACGCCAGCAAGCGGGCCGAGGCTAGCGAGCTGCTCCAGGTCGGTCTGAACTGGACGAGCTGCTGGAGGCGGCTTCCGGTGACGTCCTGAACTTAAGCACTCCGATGAGAGCGCTCAGTTTACAGCCGTATTGGATTTGCTACTTGTCCCGCCAGTCAGATTAAGATATTCCAAGCGGCGCTTTTCTCAGTAAACGATTCCTAGAACTTCGTTTCGTGAGCGAAATTGAGTAGATCGGACGCGAGATCTGCTTTGTAATTCAATGACGCCTATGAATTGTATTGCGCGCGGAAGACTTGACTCAATTGCTTACCGCTGGATCAGGTGACAATGGACTGGATAGTGGATATTGAGCCTGATGATGCACTTTTTTGTCACTCATTTTAATTTAGCGAAAACATTCAGCGTAAAAGTTTACAGTTTATTGTGAAACTTACTACGGCTTAACGAAAGACATCGTGCAATCTCAAGCCACTGCAACAGAACACCAGCTGGACGATGAGCCGAGCTATGTTTGCTGCAAAGTGCCGGTCGGTGCGACTGCGGGCCGCCCGTGCGTTGACCGTGTGTGACTGTGTGCCCTCAGCTACCGTTCATTAACCGCACCCTGGACAACAAGCCGATCCGCGAGCTGCTGCTCGAGTACAAGGCGGACGTGGTCGAGGGTATCGAGGACGCCACCGACGAGGTAGGTCGGCTGGGGGGGGGGGGGGGGCGGTGGGGGGGGGATACTGCCGCGGGGGTCGCTCTCGCTGTCAACGCTACGTCTGCTTCCTTTCCGCCCGTGTGGTCTGGACGTGTGGTCTGGTCTGGAAACTCCCCATTGCCTAATCGCCGTGTCGCTATCTCATCTGGCTATTACGCTTTGTGTACTTGGCGTATCAGCTCGCTCTCCGCCAGTCTACGCCTACGCCGCACCGATTACGCCGGTAATGTGTTCAGAGGGCGTATGGGGTCTCAGTTTTCATAAGTGCATATCTGTTTCTTCTCACCTTATCACCAGCCTGTTCGCCCGCCGGATCCTTTCTCCGCCACCTCTCTGCGGCTTTTCCGTGTTCCTTGCTTTGCGCACCCGGCCGCGGTGCCGCCCCTACCCCCGTATGTCTGTGTGTTACACGCGGCTCAGAAGGGAAGGAGGCGGAGACAGACACCGTGCTCCGCTCACGGCGGTAAGGTAGGACCAGCGCCAGGTGGGTTCTCATTGTAAATGCGCCACGAAACGGGATTAATCAGTTATTCATGCCTCCGAGTCCGAGGTCGCGGGGGGGGGGGGGGCAGCTATCTCCGCCCACTCAACCAGCAACCGCTTTTCAGTACCGGGAAGTATATCGGCTTATATTAAACGTGACCAAAATACCGACGCGGAGTGGTTCGGGTGTCCTGTCCAAATTAGGTCCTCTTCCACGCGCTTGTCCGTCTGTCGATGTGTGTGTGTATTAGTGATGTCAAATACGGAAAATCGGAATACCGATACCAAACCAAATACCAACCAAAACCATGGGGAAATACCAAAACCAAACCAACTTGGGATCATGAGGGAAATACCAACTTTTTACCAATTTCTTAGCCTGTTATACATTAGCAAGGTTTCGTGATACCGGCGAAATACCAAACACATTAGGACTGAAATGCCAAATACCAAGTTGGTATCGGTTCGGTATCGGTATACCAAAGAATTGGTATCCGATTGACATCTCTAGTGTGTATGTACCTTTGCGGTGACGCGTCTCCCGTCGGGCAGGACACGCGGGCCTCCCGACTCAGCCTGGACTCTGGCCTGCCGCCGACCGACGAAGGCGACGAAGAGGCCGAGCCCGCCGACGCCGACGCCACCGAGCCGCCGCCGGCATCGCCCAAAAAGAAGGTGGGTGTCTCGTCTCCTTTCCAGGGAGGGGAGAGTTGAGAGATGCTGTGATTAGACAAGTGAAACGGCTCTCATTTTGTTTTTTGGTTTGGTAGGTTTTAGGCCAAAAGCGTGGTAACTATATTGAAATAACCTAAAGTGGGAAAACTTGTTACTATATATTTGGTTTCGGTCGAGTCCTTTTTCCTACTGAGCCATGCCTTTTTGGTCTCCCGTTGTGCCGAAAATGACCCAACCACTGCCTGTCTACCTCCAGACACCTGCGAACAAATGCACGTGCTCTGATGGTGCTAACGGTCCGTTTGACCCGCAGCCGGCGCCGAAGCCGCCAGCCGTGGCCGAGCCGTCCAAGTCACCAGAGAAAAAGAAGCCGGCGCCGCCCCCGCCGGCCGCGGCTGCCGAGGCCGCTCCCGCTGCCGCAGCCGAGGAGAAGACGCCGGTACCGGCGGCGGCCAAAGAGCCGTCCAAAGAGCCAGCCAAAAAGTCCGCCCCTGCCCCAGCACCAGCAGCCGCCCCCGCCCAGGAGGCGGCACCAGTCAAACAACCATCACCAAGCCCGGCTCCTGGTGCGGCACCAACACCGACACCAGTCAAAGAACCAACACCACCTCCAGCGGCGCCGAAAGAAGCAGCACCAGCCCCAGCACCGACCAAGGAGTCGACACCTCTCCCAGCAGCAGCAACCAAGGAGCCGACACCCCCACCAGCAGCCAAAGAACCAACACCACCCCCAGCGTCAACCAACGAACCAACACCACCCCCAGCACCAACCAAAGAACCAACACCAGGTCCGACGGCAGGAAAAGAATCGTCACCAGCGCCAGTCAAGGAGTTGGCGCCAGATTCGACTCCAGTCGCGACGTCGGCGAAGGAAACACCTCCCGCAGCAGCTGCTGCCACGACGCCCTCGGGGACGTTAGCCGCAGCAGCGACCACGGCGGCGGCAGGAGGAGCGACAGCAGCAGCATCAGTAGCGGCAGCGGCGGCGGCCGTCCAGGACCCAGTTTCCTCAGAGGCAGCGTCTTCCGAAGCGTTAGCGGGTGATGCTCTACCGTCACCAACCACTGCTGCTGCTGCTGTCCCGTCCGAGGCCCCGTCTTCTGCCGACGCCCCTGCTTCTCCTTCTGCTCCGGCAGCCGCAGGAGACCAGGCCAAAGTTCAGCCAGAAGCGACAGCGCCGGTCTCACAGCCCGCCGCACCGCCGGCAGTGGCGGCGCCACCTGCGGAGCAGTCCACACCGGCTGAGGAGGCCGTTTCCGCGCCGGTGTCATCACCAGTGGAGCCCCAGCCGCCAGCGCCGGCCGAGACGGTGGCGGCGCCTGTCCCGGCTGCCCCCGCCGCGTCTCCGTCTCCACCTGCCGAGCAGGCGCCGCCGACGGGCCCGGCCGAGGCGGCCGAGGCTCCGGCGGCGACGGCTGTAGGGGAACCCGCTGAGCCGGCGACCGCCACAGATCTGCCCGCGCCGCCGACTGCCGGGGAGCCGGAGGGGACGGCGATGGATACGGAGCCGGAGCCGGAGCCGGAGCGGGAGCCGGAGCCGGCTGCTCCGATGGAGGTGGACGACCAGCCGGCGGACCAGGGAGCGGTCGAGACGCCCAGCGTCGGTCTGGCGGCGGGTGACGGCGCCGCGCGCGTCATCGTGTCGGCTGACGACGCTGAGTCGGGCGGCACGGTCACCACGCTGATCCAGAGCAGCGGTGACGGTGCGCGCATACAGGTGGTAGACGGTGAGTTCAGGATGGGCGACCGCTGTGTCGGTAGGGTACGCCTATTTAGGATAAGGGTGGCTCTCAAATGGTGATTTGATTTTCTCTTACCATCTTGTAAGGTTTATTTAATATCTAATCAATCATCCCACCTTCATGCGCTTGCTATGCCCAGTGTTACATGGTTATATTTTGTGTAACGTTTACAACCCGCTGATAATTTATACATAAATCAGCGTTATATCTCGGGCTCACGGCTGGGTGTGTGATGTTGTGTTTGTGTTGCCGTCAGACTGGCCGCAGCCGGCGGAGGGCGCGGCCCCTCCGCAGCAAGACGAGGAGGCGCTCTCCCCGCCGCCGTCACCGGTAGCCGGCGACGAGGACGAGAGTGACGCCGAGCTGAGCGCCCACCAGATCATGGACTCGCTGATCGGCGAGGTGGTGCGGCTGCAGCACGAGGAGGCCGAGCGCGAGTTGGAGCGCGCCGCCGCCGCCGCGCTCGACCAGTCGCTGGAGGAGGCGCTCATCTCGCTCGGCTCCGAGGCGTCCTCGGCCGACGACGAGGCCGTCTGGTCGGAGCTGCCGCCGGAGCGCGGCGCCGGAGACACCGCTCCGCCCGCCGCCGACACCGGCGACACAGCCGTCTCGGTGGACGAGCCCGGCTCGGGCGGCGGCGCGGGTGACGGCCCGGCACCGGCCGAGGGGGATGCGGTGGACAGCGCCGCGGCCGGCCGCCGGCTGGACGACAGCGAGGTACTGATCGACGGCTGCAGTATCGTGCAGAGCGGCCCACAGGAGCCGGCGGACGGCGCGGCGGCCGCCGGTCGGCTGGAGCTCACTCTACAGGAGGCCACGGAGCAGGAGCTGCCCGACCAGGAGCAGGAGACGACCGAGCCGCACGTGTCGGTGGTGCAGGTGGAGCCTGCCGACGGTCACACCGCTGCCGGTGAGTGTTCGGGGACTCCGGCCTCTGGGGACACTCAGGGAGAGGGGGTGTCAAGTGGAGCGGGCCGACGGTCACACCGCTGCCGGTGAGTGTTCGGGGACTCCGGCCTCTGGGGACTCTCAGGGAAGGGGTGTCGGTGGTGGACGTCAGTGCTCGAAGACGTAGGTCTCTGGGGACACTCGGGGAGGGGACACGTCGGTGATGTATTATTGTGTGAGTGACGAAGGCCACAGCCACCAGGACCATCAGGGATGGTTTTGTCGTTTTAAATCCGGGTCTGGTTTAACAGTTTGAAGAATTAATTACTTCATGGTGCGTGCGAATTACGGCTTGGGCACAACACGCGTTATGTGATTTCATGTAGGATTTCATGTAGATGCTCTTACCTTCCTTATGTTTGCGCTGCATACTGATGAAGGTGATAGTCCGACCAGCATGGCGCTCTTGGTCATTTGACGTTTATAATGGGCCGCTGATGGAACATTCGTTAGCTGATGTCCGGGTGTTTGTTCGATTCCACATTACTGTCAGTGTCTACTAGTGTTTCTTTAGTTGACGTAACGCACAGATCGCCCTTGCATGACACTTTCGAACGCTTGGAGTCTGGGGATCTCGGCGTTCGTGACAATTTCCGACGGGATGACGTCACAACTTACTATTGATGCGTCTTAGACCCGATTACCATGCAAAATTGGAGTGCCAACAGTACCAGTAGCCGCTTACATCAATGCCTTGAATAGGACCCGGATGTTATACGCCAAATACGGCATGTTTGCCATGCAAATTGGCTTTCAAACGCGTTGACGTACTGGCTGCTGGTAGTACTTACCTCCGTGTGACACGGCGTGCTCTGCTGTGACCCTGTTGGTGTCACCCTGTGTGACGTGTGCTGTGACCCTGCCTGGTGGTCCGCCGTGTGATGTGGTGTGCTGTGACCGACCCTGCAGGCGCTGAGGGCACCACTCGCCGACGTCTGGAACCCCTTGTAACGTGTGCTGTGACCCTGCTAATGCCCTCCCCCTCCCTGTGTGACCTGGTGTCCTGTGACCGACTGCAGGCGCGGACGGCACCTCACCGACGTCCCTGCTGGTGGCCGGCACCACGGTCGGCTCTTCGGACGTGGACCAGTTGGACGACGAGGAGGAAGACGAGGCGGAAGACGATGACGACGATACCGTCTTCTCGCCGCAGCACAACTCCACGGCTCGGGTCAGTCTCCGGTCACAGCGGCTGTGGCTTGCGGGGAGTTATTGAAGTGGATGCGACTGTACTTGTTGGATGTCACTAATACCTTGCGTGCAACGTAGCACGTCATATTTAGTGATCTCCAAATCAGTACGACTGCTGCTGCTTATGTAACCATGCTTCTCATGCAACATGGTCACACGAAGCCAATTTATTAGAATAATAACAAGTGATCGTTGTTCTAGTTTTGTATTGTACTAATTACCTTCTTGATTAACCGGCCTCACCTTACCCACAAACCCTTACTTTGAGTATGATCTTTGCTCCGTCCGTACGAGGACAGATCATTGCCGATGTCCAATGTACATCCGATGTCTTTCTACATGACATCGATGAGACCTCTCCACGCTCTCTCCGCCCACCTTGTCTGATCTGTCTCCTGTCTGTCCTTTCAGCTGGTATCTGATTATCCACTCGCCTCCTACCCGTGATCCACTGTGTGTCTGCCCTCTCTCCTCCCTCCGTGCAGCCGGTGTCTGATCTGTCTCCTCTCTGTCCGTGCAGCCGGTGTCTCGCGGCAGCAGCGAGGACAGCGGCGAGGAGCGCACCGGCTCCGACTCTGCTGGCAGCCAGAAGGAGAACATGCCTCCGCCGGCCGCGCCGCCGCCGCCGGCCGCCTCCAAACAGAACCAGAAGCAGCCGCCGCCGGCCGAGCAGGAGGTAGAGGACGATGACGAGGTGGTGCTCAGGAAGAAACGACCCGCCCCGCCGCCCGCTCAGGTAAAGAAGCTACGCTACACTCCCCCGCCGCCCGCTCAGGTATACAACTCGGTAGACTACCCCGCCGCCCGCTCAGGTATACAACTCGGTAGACTACCCCGCCGCCCGCTCAGGTATACAACTCGGTAGACTACCCCGCCGCCCGCTCAGGTATACAACTCGGTAGACTACCCCGCCGCCCGCTCAGGCGGTAGACTACCCCGCCGCCCGCTCAGGTATACAACTCGGTAGACTACCCCGCCGCCCGCTCAGGTATACAACTCGGTAGACTACCCCGCCACCGACCCGGGCATGTAACACACACTACACTCCACCGCCGCCGGCTCAGGTATAGCACATTTAGCCGCAGGTGAAGAGAATATGTACGGCAAATAATAGATATGTAGTAATACAGTTTCTGCTATGCCAGAAACAGCCGGTGCTTTCCGTAAACGGACGTCGGATCCATCATTCGTTATAGGCTTGCCACCGCGGAGCACTCAGGATATACCAGTTCAGTGCATGCTATTTCGTCACTCGCGCAGTTATTTATCGCATTCGGTGTTCGTTTTCTGACCGAAGCTGCATTTTCAGGACACATCGGGCGTATCGCGCTCTTCAACCATGAGCCGAACCAAGGAGGAACAGGCCATCTCCAACCTGCGCAAGAAGACGCGGAAGCGCACGCGCCGCTTCGAGATCGACGGCGTCATCGTCACCACCACCACCCACAAGGTGTTCTACGGCGACGACGACTCGGCCTTCGTCGACGAGCACGTCTTCAGGAAACAGGAGCTGCGCGACCTCAAGATGCTGCAGAAACAGGAGCAGAAACAGTTCCGCGAGCTTAACGCCAAGGTAATCAAGTGTCTCATTGTGTATGATGTCATGATGTGTTAACTGACAAAGCCAACTTATTATTTCAAAATTATTGGACAATAGATTGAGATATAGAGGATACGCAAATATCTCTAAGCAGGGATGCGGAGCCGTGGAAATTTCAGACGGCTCCGGCTCCGGCTCCGGCTCCGGAGAAAAAAATCGGCTCCGGCTCCGGCTCCGGCTCCGGGTGAAATGTTATGGCGGCTCCGACTCCGGCTCCGGCTCCGAGTAAAATGGTCCGGCTCCGGCGGCTCCGGCTCCGGCTCCGGCGGCTCCGGCTCCGACTCAGTACATCCCCTATGCAATCAATTAAATACGGGTGGAAGAAAAATTGGATTGGTTATACGTGTTACTCTTTGCCATGACCGGCTCATGACCGCGTCCCCGCGTAAACGCACCTCGGAGAGAACTGGCAGAACAAGGACTAGGAAGCGATGGCATTGGAAACGCAGTCGCCGCGAATCGGAGTTCACTGAACCATCGTAAGCTGACACCCGTCTCGGCAGAGACGGTGCTGGGAGTCGCAGTCCACTGCACTGGCTTGAAAACAATGGCCGTCACCTGATGACCGGTCCTCATGTTCTGGGGATGCAGTAGACGTGGGTGGGGGGGGGGGGGGGGGGAGGAGCAGACAGGAAGTTGATTGCGTACTGTGGGATACTGGGGATATTCGGCTTTTTTCATTCACTTGATGGCCCATGACGTAAGAACATACCATATGTTTCACTGCCTTGTACTGTCAAACCGAACTAGGTCAATTATTTTTTTCCTCTTCAAAAAATAAAAAGGAGCCGGAGTCGCCCCCTTTTTTGGCGGCTCCGGCTCCGGCTCCGGCTCCGGTCTATATTGTTTCACGGCTCCGGCTCCGGGCAAAATATGCCGGCTCCGGCGACTCCGGCTCCGACTCCGGCTCCGGCTCCGCATCCCTGTCTCTAAGTCATTTGCAATAACACTCCTTACAATTACGGTCCAAGTGCCTCGATAAAATTGGCTTGCATTTTCTCCACCCCCTCTCATTGTCGACGACCTCTTTGTTCCCGCCGCCCCGGCTGTGTCGCTGACCGTCTGGTCCCGCCCGTCCGCCCACAGTCGCAGCTGGGCCGCGACAACCAGCAGCGCAAGTTCGAGTCAGAGATGGCGCAGCTGGTGCGCCAGTACGACAGTGACCTGGACAGTCTGCAGCGGCAGCAGAAGTCGCAGGTGGAGCGCGCAGAGCTGCAGCAGGAGAGCGACCTGCGCTCTGCCAGCAAAAAGATCCGCGCCGAACAGGTCAGTCAGAGATAGGAACACCAAGGGGAGGGAGAGGGGGGAGGGGTGTCTTGTTTATAAGCAGCAAATAGAAGACCTTCAGGATTTGGTACTGGTGCTGGCTGCTAGTTTGCACCATGGTTCTATGACGGCCATGACTGCCTTGGAGTTCGTCTTCCTCCGACTGTGACTCAGAGTATCATAATAGGAGCTGACGTTGTTTGTGCACCGATCCGAATATTGATTTGGCGACCACGGTTTCTAGAGCGGAGATAGTAATTGCACTGTGACCGACGCCCCGTCTCCGTAACCACTTTACAGGAGCGCGAGCTGAAGACGTTCCGCGACACGCTGAAGCAGGAGGTGCGCCTGCTGAAGCAGGAGACGGACATGCTACCGCGCGACCGGCGCAAGGAGGCGTTCCGCACGCGCCGCGAGCGGCTGGACGCCGAGCACCAGTCCAAGGAGCGCGACTTCATCGAACGGTTGAACGAGTCGCACGAGTCTTCCCTGCAGCGGCTGGCCGAGCAGCACCGCGAGAAGATCGCCCTCATGGAGAAACAGTTCCTCCAGCAGAAACAGCAGGTACGTAGTGGCCCGCCGCCCGCCGCAGTTCCACTTCCAATGAACTGAGTCTGACCGCCCGGGTGTTGCGGCCTGTTTGCCAGTGGAGTCATTGTCAGTCGTCATGGGCCGATCACTGAGTCGTGAGATTATCCGTGAGAGTTAATGTTGAGCGGTAGGATTGTATAATTGTACGTTGCCTGACTTTTCGTCTGCGTCACCCTCAGCTGCTGCGCGCCAAGGAGTCGGCCGTGTGGGAGCTGGAGGAGCGGCAGATCCACGAGAAACACCAGATGAGCAAACACCAGGTCAAGGAGGTGTTCTTCCTGCAGCGACATCAGGTCTGTCTGGACGGCAGGTCGCCGCAGGGTGCGCCGGGATGAGGTGCAGCACAGTGTCGGGTATACCGTACAGATTGGCTATAGCTAAGAGCAATAGCATGACTCTTGTATTCTATCGAAGGTTGATACTGGTCTGGTAAACATCCAACGCAATGACGTCGAGTTGCTGAATAGCTGATATTCTGACGTTTCATTTAATGAGCTTTAAGGACATGCTCTCTCTGGTTGTGCAATGGACATCAAACGTCTGTTGTTTGAACATCGAGTGCTCTCAAGTGTTGCATCCTTGTCTAGCGTCATCTTCCCCCACTATCTACCGATGTTGTGCCATTTTTATACGCCCAACCATACACCGCCGCGCTCCTCAGATGCTGCTGCGACACGACAAGGAACTGGAGCACGTGCGCCGCATGAACGCGCGCCGCACCGACGACCTGGTGCGGCAGCAGCAGGTCGAGCGGCGCGCGCTGCCCAAACGCATCCGCGCCGAGCGCAAAACGCGCGAGCTCATGTTCCGCGAGAGCATGCGCATCAGCCAGGCGCTGCCGCACCGCGCCAGCGTCTCGGAGACCGAGGGCGACGACCGCGACCGGCTCAAAAAGTTCCTCGAACAGGAGCGGAAACGGTGAGCGGAGGGTTCTGAGGACTATAAAAGGACTGGAATGGTAGGTGAGGGATGGGATAGATGGGCTTATTGTGGCGAGGAGGGTCAGAATGCGTTAGTGGTTGACGACAGTGTGAATGTCTGAGCACGGCCGCGGGTACAGCCTTCTTGCGGCAGTCCCACCATAGCTGCCAGTCTACTACCGTGGTGCCCTCCCATCGGCTGTGCTGTCTTATCACCTGTCGGTGTGTCCACAGGTACAAGGCTGAGGAGCAGCGGTTTGACCTCAAACACAAACGGAAGCTGGAGGAGCTCAAAGCCAAGGGTGACGCCACCATCAAGGAACTGGAGCAGCTGCACAACGAGAAACGTGAGTAAAACATTCATCTGAATGAATGAATGAATGAATGAATGAATGGATGGATGGATGAATGAATGAATGCTGCCATCCTACACGGCTTGGTGACGTCGCACAGATACACACTAACATATTTTGGGAGAGTTCGAATATTCCGTCAAATTATAATGCCGTTAGGTACATAGGTATGCAATAAGTCGTCAAGGTACAACTCCATTTCATCCGGAGGTATCTACTTACCTGCCAATCACTGGCGGCTGGCAAGATAGGTCATTGATAATTCACCATCATCAGACTATCACACTGGTTGTGATAATGTGATTGAACAATGTTATCGCTGACTGTCCGGTCCGTATCCCTCAGGTCGTATGCTGATGGAGCACGAGTCCATCAAGCTGAAGTCGCTCGAGGAACAATACCAGGCCGAGCTCAGGGAGTGGAAGCACTCGCTCAAACCGCGCAAACAGGTACGTGGACGATGGATCACTTCACTGAAGCGGACGTCATTAGTGTTCGTGGTATGGGCCGCTCCTAAGAGTTATTGGCTGACAGCAGCGGCTGATGCTGAGTTTTTCCAATGCCTCCCGCGGTCCATCTCCATTAGTAACTGGTTTGATCTATCATTTTTTACTTTGGACTGAGAAATGTGTGGGCCATGCGTTGGAGTTGTCTGCCGTGGACTAACCCTCTCGCGTCCACCGCCAGAAACTGGAGGACGACTTTGCGGCGGAGCTGGAGGAGCAGGCGCAGTTTTACACGGGCTCGGTGGGCGCCGGCGGCTACACAGCGCCGCTGACGGACCGCAGCAGCAGCCTGAGCCGGGCCAGCACCGCCAGCTACTGGTCCCAGTGAGACGAGGGCACCGCCCGCAGTGATCTGACCGAGTGATGAGCGCCGCCGCCGTCCGCGACACAGAGTATTTTTGGACCGCGCCGCCGCCGCCCGGCTGGCTGCGTGTGTATGTGATGAACTGCCGGTCTGCCCCGCGCCGATCTGTTTTATAGGTGACCGTCGACAATACGTCTGTCGATCTGACTGGGTGGAGTTTTATTTTTCTGACGGCGCGCCGCCCGTTCCACCTGTTGACTGTGTATCATATGCGTTGTATTCAGGGGGGGGGGAGGGAGAGATAGGACCGTGCTCTGACCAAGGTGTGTGTGCGTGGTGAGTGAGAGGGCCGCCCGCCTCTATTTAATGACGTCCTCGTGCTATCTCTGCGCGCGGTGTACGGGTGAGTCGGGCATCTGTGATCGCCCGCGGTCGGCGCTGGCCCACATTCCGGGTGCTGCGCGCCGTCCGCCGCCGTCCAGTGTTCACCGGGAACCTGCCTTACTGGCCCGCTCTCACCACCGCCTTCTCACACAGAGTATCGATAACACGCGGGACCCGGCGCCGCCAATGGCAGCCGCCGCGGCATCCCTAGAGTTCCAGGCTTTATACTCGTATATATTTTCGTGTCACAAACACGGTGGTAGTCCATCTGCCGCGTAGGATCAGACGGTTTCCATGTGCTGTTCTGTACCTGGTACGTACCATGTTATTGCGACTCGTCAATAAAACGGTTACATACATTTATATTAACGCGGAAACATGTTTCACAGACGATACTAGCGGATTATAACAGGACACTGCAGTTGGCGCGCCAAGCTCTCTAGCGACAGACGATAAGTACATAGTCTGGGCGGCCGGACGAGCGGCACCCGCCGACCAGAGCGGAGCGGCGACAGAAGGCCAAGGAGAACACTCAGTCCCAGCGTAAAATACTATGCTCGTGTGTGCGCACGTCCCGCCGCCAGTGGAATAATAAAAACACGGTCCGGCCGGTGCGCGGACCGCACTGGCGCAGCTGCCGCTCCCCCGCCGGGCGCGCGCTCACGTCTTGCGGCGTTTTCCGGCGGCGTGGCCCTCGATGCCGGTGGCGCAACGCTCGCGGGCCAGTTCGTAGTCGAGGCCGGGGCCCAGCTCGTCCGAGGGGCGCTTGGCGCCCGGGTTGGAGAGGCGCAGCGTTTCCATGTCGTTGAAGACTACGGCGCGGCCGCCACCCACCGTGGGAAGAACGTCACCCTGGCGGCAGGAGATGCCGGCGTCAGACCAGACTGTGGACCCAGACTGTTCCACACAAGGCGACACGGAACGGAGCCAGAAAGAAGAAAACTACGACTCGTGTGGTTGGAGTTCGGGCATTACCGCTCTCTACGGTTAAGAATTCTAAAGCAGTTATGCTGGATTCGCTCGTCTCGCCACCAAGGCTGTTTAGGAACATTACACGTATATGGAATATGGTATAGCACTTAATTACGATGGGCTACTCGTTGCAACTCTTCTTTGGCCGCCGCCCAACGGTGAGCTCCAGGCAGGTCTACCGAACCGTGATCAACTAATGCTTGGGAAGATTGAAATTTGATTCTAACGCCTCGTCAACGATATTTGCTATCCCGAGCAGAAACACTATGCATATATGCATTAACAACATACATGCGTATAACATACATCATGCATGAACACCACCGTTTTCCATACACCGCCACCACCCGAGTACGGAAGCGATACCATGATGCTCCCCTGCTGGTTAGTGGCGGCGAGTTAAACACCAGCGGCTGCGGCGGCGGCGTCCGGCTTACCTTGACCATGTGGGTCTCCACCTCGCCCTGGGAGTCCTGATCCTGGTGCGTCAGCACGTACTTGGACGTCTTGTCGTTGATCACATCCTTGGCGTCCAGCTTGGTCACCGACTTACGCTTCTTCATCTTGGGCTGCGGGCCGGCCGAAAGGCGACCCCGTCAGCAGGGTCGTACAGCGCCGCACCAATCCCGCCACCCGGCACGCGCACGGACGGGACACCCAACCAAGCCCAGACTGTACACTGTACACCAGACGAGTCGGACACCGACGAACGGCCAACACCACAGCCAAACGGACAGTGGAATGGAATTAGTGAGCTGGACGTGTTTAACGATCGAGTAAGTCTGCAGTGAGTCTGCGAGCTGAGCTTTTGATTTGGCGAGTGATTAACGGTTGTGTTAATTAGTGAACTAGCGAATTGGTGAGTGAGCAGATGTCTTGGTGATTGATTGTAAGTTGGTGAGCGAGCTGGTGAGTTGGTGAGCTAGCCGCGAGTGAATTACTGAGCGAGTCGGCGATCTCCCTCACCTGGAAGATGGTGGCCAGCTCGAGCACGTGTCCTGGCCGGTGGTCCAGCCACACCTCTGCGTCCGTGGACTTGGAGCGGCGGTGGCGAGTGGTGGCCGCCACGGTCTGGGGACACAGCACCAGCCGGCCGTCGTCAGTGTCACACACACCGTGGAACAGCGCTGGGAGGACTTCAAAACAACCAACCAACCCACCGTCGGCAGCCACACAAATCGGAGACCGGCGCTGGCGGGCGACAAGCATATGCTGAATACAACCAGCCTTCGGATCGCCAGCCAAGTCCAATAATTGTACGAATCCTAGCAGGGCAGACCCCGACCCACAATCACCCCGAGCAGTCACAGGTGACGCGTCCACTGACCCGTTTGGGCTGCGGAGTGCCGGAGAGGCGCGGGTCGGACCGAGACGGTCGGAAGGTGGCCGTCTCGTTGGCAGTGCTCGGGCGGGGCCGCGGCGCCGGCGTCGGCGGCGCGGACGGCACGGCGAACCCGGCCTCCTCGTTGTTGATGATGTCGCGCAGGGCTCGCAGCTTCTCGTCTTTGGCTCGCATCTCCGTCTGCCCGGCAGAGGAGAGAAGAGGGATCCGTCACGGCATGGGGACGTCGGCGGGGCGTCACGTATTAGAAAGTGAACATTACAAACATCCCCACTGTACGCGCAAGACAGTATACAATCAAAATATAGGCTTAGACGGCACTAATCAAATTTACAATGAACATGTTGACACCAACAATGAGAAGTTCTTAATATTATACCTTGAGCATTTCCCTGTTCATCTTGATCCTGCTCTTCATGTCGGAGGCGAGCCGCTCCTTCTCCTGCTGCATTCTGGTCTTCATGCGCTGTTTGACGCGCTCGCGCTCCAGAGCCTCCTGGTTGAGGAGCATCTCCTTCTCACCCAGCTGCACACGGAAGGCGCGCCCAGTCAGTCGGCCGCACCACAGGCAGCGCAACAGGGACACGAGGTAAGACAGGTGGTGTTGCAATCCTGCAGTCTCATAGCCGCCGAGACCCTAATGACCTGCCAGGTGATCTATTAGGACCACGGACTGGTCCTCTGATTTGCGATAAAAAACGACAGAACAATTATTTTGGAAAATTCATCTACAATTTCAACATGTAACTTGCTTTTGTCCTGACACATTAACGAGGCTAGTCAGCTTTGACATTGTAAAATAAGTGAAAGTCAATGACGCGTAATGGTCGAAATGTCTGCGTTATTTAAAACGCCCAAGTCTTTTTCAAACGCAGCATTTAGTAACCTCAAGGTTATTTGTCTATCATACGTGATGTACCGACCAGTTGTCTCAATCACGCCCATCCAAGTATTCCCATGGAAGGAGAGACCCTCAGCCGCGGCCAGACCCACCTCGTTGACTAGCGCCGCCTGGTTTTCGTTCAGCTCGCGGAACCTCCTGTTGAGGCTGTCGTTGGCGGCCTCGGCGCTGGCGAGCCGGGCCTCCAGGGCGGCGGTGCGCCGGCTGCTGCCGTCCGAGCTGGCGCGCAGCTGCGCGTTCTCTTGGCGCAGCGCCGACATCTCCATCTCGGTCTTGACCAGCAGCTGCCGGAAGGCGTCCTGCTGGCGCTGCAGCTCGTGCAGCAGCGTGGCGCGCAGCTGGACGCGCCGCTCCAGGAAGCGCACCAGGCAGCGCACCGTCTCCTCCTCCTCGCCGGGCGTCATGGCCATGCTCGGCCACACGGGGCCCAGGCAGAAGACGGGCGCCAGCTCGGCGGCCGCCTCACCGCCGCTCGGCTCCGCCTCCGACGGCCGGCCGTCAGAGCCCAGACGCCGCTGCGCCTCCCGCAGAATCTGGGACGGCGGGCACACAGGCACACGGTGACAGTCGATACTCGACATTCGCCGACACATGGCGGTGATATTCTAGCAATGCAGCGAACGCTTCATATTTAGTCATGTGCCCTGCAACAGTTTATACAATCGCCAAACGAATTAAAATCATTGATTAATTTCGTAGCAAAAACTGAAACTACATATAACCAAAAAGCGAGCAATATTATTATCATTATCATTGTTTATTCAGCATCGTCATGCGACAAAAAGATACATACCCCCCCCCCCCCCCCCACCCACCCACACACACAGTTAATCAGCACTCAGGAGGTTAGTAGTCTTAACAGGCGCCGCGAGGCCTGACAGTTGCTTGCCAAAACCATCTTCAAACTGTCTATAAGACCACTTTCTTGGAGTGGTGCCCGGACTATGTCGTGATCGACGTACCCAGCAGCGATGTGCATGATAGCGCCGAAGTTCCCACCACACAGATTATATACGTGGCCAATAAACGACCCATCCAACTGCTCGGGGTACGTAGCAAGTCTGGCCAGTCCAGTGACGTAGGCTTGGCGAAGACGGTGGTCAGCGCGGAAAGCATTACGGAATGCGCGGAGGGCATCACCTCGCAGCACCTCACCGATGCGAGGCACCCCAGCAGCAATCAAAAGAGCCGTATGGTGCGCAGAACGCGGCAGACCCAGCGCGGCTGCCTTGATCAGCGAAGCCTGTCGCGAGTCTAGACGCTCAATGTCGGCGGAACTGAGGGGAGCCGTCTCACAGCCGAAGATCAGTGCCGGCAGCACTACTGTCTTCCAGAGGAAGATTTTGTCGACGTCAGTGAAGACCCAAAACTGATCATATACTGCAGTCCCTTCAACCCGTGTCACCCCACCCATACAGCCGGCATACTGTCTAGCGGGAGCGCCTCGATTCCACAGCGCACTGCACCGCTCCCCGGCGGATCAACTGACTCACCTGGTTGGCTTTCCTCCTGCCGGGCGTGAGGCCGATACCCATGTCGAGCGGCCGGTCGGCGGGCCGTGCCACCACCACCTCCTGGGTCAGCTCGGCGAACTTCATCACGTGCTGGGGGGGGGGGGGGGGGGGGACGCCGAGCGGTCCGTCAGCCGGCAGGGTCCGCATACACAGCGACAAAGGACGGGCAGCGGGCACTGGCACGGCGCCGGAGGGTCACAGTCGCACCTGAATACAGCTAGGACGACCAGCCGACTACCTCGTAAACATGGTCACTGCAGGGCTACACCCTCCTAGACTATGCAGCATGCACGCCTTTCCATGAACAAGTTTGGCAAATAGTCAAACCCTACCAACAGACAGCAGGATCCATTGATGTCTTTTTTTACGACAGGACCATGTCACTCACGATCGTTTCGTCGTACTCCTCTGCCCGCGGGTTGACGCACACGACCATCTTGACCTTGCCCTCTCCATCGAAGTAGTTTTTGAAGAGGTGTGTGATGCGCGAGTCTCGGTACGGCACCATCTTGTTGGCATCGTTCAGCTGGTTCTCACGCAGTGTCTCGATGCAGGTCCGCAGAACCATCAGCGAGTTGTTGATGTTGCCTGTCGGAGACCAGATACATCGTCAGCTGAGACGTCGGCGATCTCAACGCACCGACTTCTACAGATCGGCAAAGCGACACTGGCATTTTGGTTGACATAGCGACGGATATCACAGCAGCTATCTCGACAATTAATGTCCCTTTACTACTAATGCTTTGATGTTTGAAGGCTCAAGAGGCGAGGTTTCAAATCGTATGACATGCCATGCTCCGCTACCAAAAAGTGAAAATATAACAGCAGCTGCAGGCAGTCCGCCGCTCCCGCTCAGGCTAAGGCCACGCGCCCGACTGACCGGCCTCTCGCAGTCTGTCGCCGTTGTTTTTGGTGCGGTTGGTACGTTCGCTGCCGGCCAGGTCGACCAGCGAGAGCTGACCCACGACCATTAGCGCCTTGTCGTCGAGCACCTCCTCGCCACGCGGGTCCAGCGGCGCCTGCACAGGGGCGACAAAGGTCAGTGGTCAGACGCAGCGCGCATCGGGTCACCCACTCAAATAAGGCTACTGGGTCACCTCACGACAGGTCACAAGGTCAAATCAGATCACGCACGCGATCTGAGATGTCCGGCGGTCATGTAGCGTAACCATTTCAAATCAAAGCGCATAAATACGGAACAATCGTATAAATCACCACCGAATAACTCCCAGCTCACTGCCTAGTGCACATTATATCCTCCCAACCACGACAAATCTCTCCCCCTACCCCGTCCCGTCGGCCGCCGCCCAGCGACCTCTCTCTCCCCTCCAACGCCGGAGATCCCCGCGCGCCACCGACCTGGACGACGCGGATGGTGAACACCGAGTGGGAGCGGCTGCTCTCCGTGTTCAGGGTGGTGTGGGCCACCTTGCGGCGACGCTGGCCGCGCCGCAGCGCATCCAGCGCCTCGCTCGGAGTCGACACTTCCACCTCGCTGGCGCCGTGCACGTAAATGTTCTTGTTGTTGTCCTCCCGCAGCATGCGTGATTGCAGCGACCTGTCGGGAGAGGGAGATTAACTTAGTTTAAGACTGCTGAGCACAGGGCATAAGTGACTCATGACCGATAATACGTTTCTAAGTCGAAAACAAATGAGCTTTACGACAGTCTATCCAATCGGTGAGACGATATTGATTATTGAACGTCACCGTTGCTCACTTTTTCATGTTTTCCGGCGCCACCTCCTCCAGCAGGTCGTAGACGTAGTTATTGTAGATCTCCACGTAGGAGACGAAGACGGCGAACGCGTTGTCCTCGTCCAGGCCGGACACCTGGCTGACCTCGGGTACCCGAGTGGAGGCCGCGTCACTCTCGTCCGGGGTGACGCTGCCGCTGCCGCCGCCGCCCCCGGCGCCGCCTGGGGTGGGCGGTACGCGTCTGCGGCGCACAGAAACATACGTCGTCACTCGTGAGGTACTCACATGTAGCACACAAATCGAGAGGTCTTACACAGTTCACACAATAATCAGCCCCACCACACTCCAAGACCAGCAGTGAGAGCGGCCATCTCTTCCTTACAAACAGATTACATATGCAAGTCATGAGAAACTCACTGGAAACGGGGAGCGGCCTCGTCCTCACGACCTTCCTAACGAATTAACAAATTCCAACGGCCAACAGCGCGGCATATTCGGTTGGGCCGCACCCCCAAGACAAACGCCACCTTATCACCCATTCAGCCGCACCTTGCGTCCGCCCAAGACCACCCCAGAACCCACCTTTTGCGCGGAGTTTTGCCCGGCTTGGGCGTGTTGAGGATTTCCCGCTGGCGATCCAGCATGGCGTCTGCCTCCGTCTGCACGTCAAACGAGTTCAGACGGTCCGGCTTGAACACGAACCGGCGCGCCTGGTAGTTGACGATGCTGTTGAAGATGACGTCGATGCAGCGCGGCATGATGCCTCCGTCCTGCTGAGAGCCTGCCGAAGAGGAGCCCGCTGTCAGCGCTGGCGGACGGCTACTGACACGGTCGGCCACCAGCAGCGGCATCCGAGCGCCGAAACTGCTATTACCTACTTGGGCATACCGTGGCCGGAGCAGAAAAGCGTATGCAACAAAGGAATTCCAGTTATTAGCAAAATAGCATGGCACAATAGATTATCACGAGATATTCGCGCACAAAATGAAAATGAACGAGCAGTAGTGACCTTGATGCCGATAAATCTGTTCTGGTAGGGTTCCGACCGGATTCCCCATCCACGCCGACGGTAGCCGACTCACCCATCATGGTGTGCGTTTTGCCGCTGCCCGTGATGCCGTAGGCGAACAGCAGGCCGTTCTTGCCGTTGAGCAGGTCGCGTACCAGCGGCTTGGCCACGGCGTCGAACAGCTGCTTCTGCGTGGCCGTGTCGGGGAAGACGGTGCCGAACTTGTACTGCTGCTCCTTGGCCGTGCCGTACCGGAACGCCTGCCGGCCACAGGTTCAGGAGCGTCACATTATGTCGGTTACACACGCCCGGAGGGCGTTTCGCATACGAAAAGAGAAATGTATCGGCAAACTGCTGTGATATTTACGTGCAGATAGGATACGACATCGAGAGGGAAAACAGGCCAATGTCACATAGTCCGCGACAATATAGTTCCCGACAATATAGGCTGGCTGCAGCGTTCACCGGACGCTGCAGCCAGCCTCTGTTACCAACCGACCGACGAGGTCTCCAATTGAACTGTGAGTTGGCACACATTGTCCCGAGCCTCCGTCACCCACCGACCGACGAGTGCTCCAACTGACCCAGCAGTTGTCCGGCGGCGTCACGAGCATCAGTCACCTACGTAAGGAAGAGGTCTTCGACTGACCTGTGAGTTGGCCGGCGGCGTCACCAGCACAGTGGTGTCGTCCAGCTGTTCCACACATCGCTCCTCGCCTTCTGGCACGGGCCGCAGTCGGCACACCACCTCCACGGGGTCGACGCCGTCCGACTGACCGGGCCGCGCCGGCCGGCCCGGCGTCTTCCGCACGCCGGCCTTGGTGCGGCTGGAGACAACAAAATACCGCTGCCGTCAGAGGAGGGGAGATGGGCAACACAGCACTGGCAGAAACGGCGCTGGTAGGGTGTGACGATGGTTAAGTAGCAGGGCTTAGCAGTAGTGCTGGCTGGAGACATGTATCAAGGAGTCAGAACGAGAAAATATGAAACCCTGTGAACTATTGAAAATCCTCATAGCGATGTCTCCTGAATATCCAGTTTCCTGCATGGCAACTATTAAAAATAGCAGGGTTCAAAGGCAAGCAACCTTGTTTAAGCGTTTCTTACCTGGGTGTTACACTACACAACTTTGAAATTCTCATGCTTTCCTGGATGCTGTAGTACAGCTTAAGGAGGCAAGGACGAGGTTAAAAACTCTTGAAGGCAGGACACATAGGTATGTTTGCTACCTGGAAAAGTAGTGTGATGATAAACATGTACAGCCAATGTAAAAAACAAATTGGGTTAGCTACTTTTTTACTTTTGACACCTTGAGTTATTCAGTGGACCCCAAGGCCCAAATGGTTTTAAGGAACACATTAAGAATTACCTGCTTTAGAGATAGCCAGCATTCAAAAACTTGGACAGAGTGAAGGAATGAATATATTTTGTTTCAAGCTAATACCAGAATGATAAAATATGCATTAGCTGAAAATAAATAGCCAGAACTTAACAGCTACATGACCAGTTGGAGTAAAGCCTGGATGCTGCTACCAGACATTGGCACTGTTTTCCTGAAACATGCCCAGGTAAAAATGCCCACTTTACTAAAGTCTCCATAGAAGCCTAGCACCAACACTAAGGTAGCATCAAGAAGCAGTGTACCATGAAACAGGGCTCTGAAAGTCACCATTTCAGTCAAGCTAGATTGTGATGGAAATGAAGATTGCAAGGTATTGCACAGGTACAGAGTTCAAATTTCATGACCCTACAGGTAAATCAATCCATACCCATGAGTTGAGAATGAGACAATAGCCATACATGTCATCATTTGGCAGCCTCCTCTGGGTGAGTCATAAGCCAGTCACTGCCAAAAGTAGTGGCATATCAGTTTCAGCCTACTTTTGGGCTGAAACTGCCTGCCTGATGCTGTTCAGTCAATAGCTCAGAAGCCTGGTCCTTTTTGTTTGATAGCACTAGGAATTAGGAAGGTACTTACTACTTACATACCTAAAAGATACATTTATACAACAGAAAGAATATCTCACATTATCAAAGTAAAAACTCATATGACAGACTAAGTTAGAATAGAGGGGATTGTGATAACTAGTAACTACCTACATCAACTTGAACTGTAGTGACGGCAAACCGTCACAGACTTTGCTTCCAAGTTCTAAAATGTGTAACACTACAAATCATGAAAGCACAATAAGTGAGCCGTAAATACTAAATACCACATAATTCAATCCATATCGATAGTGAAACACCCACGCAGCCATTTTCTAATAATGTTTATGGCTTATGGTCATGGCAATTTGAATTGAAATTGCTACTTACAGAGGACGCATTTATCACCTAATCAGCGCCAGGCAGAACGAACAAGATCGGGACTCCTTCAGTAAGGAAAAATCAAATAGAAAAACGCATCTAATAAATCAGAACAATTCTACAAAATAAGCAATAAAACTATTCAAAATTCACACATTTATCACACAATCAACGCTTCACGCCGGTGGACCAGCTGATTTTCAAATTTTGGCGGCACAGCCAATCACCTTCCAGTATTACTAGTGATGGAAAGGCTGTGGTACTTTGAAGTACTTGCGAGTAAAAAATAAAACATCTGCTATTTTTCCAAAGGAACTATATGTAAATAAATGTAAAAGCAAAAAATACTGATATTTTCCCTTAAGTTATATTTACTCTGTCATTGGTTTCTTGATTAGCTAGAATTCATGAGTATTTGCCTTTAAAGTACACACTGGGTACTTGTTTTTTTAAGGCATTATGAAATGGGCTAGGAGAAATAAAATGAAAGAAATCAGCTTTCTTTGTTTTTATTTTAAAAGTTGTGGGTAAAATAAATGTTTGAATTTAATTTCATCAGTTTAACGTAACAATCAGCATTCTTTATGGCGTAAACAACGTAAAAAAGTGTAGAACTTATTCTTTGGAGCGCTCTTGCGAGGAACATTATGAATATTAGAGAGAGAAAATATATGAAAAAATGACCTCTCCTCGACATTTAAAATTATTAGAATAGCCAAATATTACTGTATTGATATTTCGACCAACAGGTCTTCTTCAGAATAAGACAATGTACACAATTGTACGAGAACGAGAATACAATAATTGATGCAGCAGACTTATAAGTCTGCTGCATCAATTATTGTATTCTCGTTCTCGTACAATTGTGTACATTGTCTTATTCTGAAGAAGACCTGTTGGTCGAAATATCAATACAGTAATATTTGGCTATTCTAATAATTTTAAATGTCGAGGAGAGGTCATTTTTTCATATATTTTCTCTCTCTAATATAAAAAAGTGTAGCTTGAAAACTGTCTGTGTTTTAGAGAGACTGTACCATTTTCCTAGTGCGCCACATTGAGTGTGGCCTTGAATTCATTATCTGCTACAAGGCAGATCTCTTTAGGGACACGCCTAAGAGCTGGACTTTTTGATGACGTCTTCGGGTGACGTCATGTCGTGTGTGACGTTTCGTGAGCAGGTAAGGAAAAGTCACCACCGCTGGCGAACATTGGTGCGGTAAATGGCAAACACAAATGCTGCGCAGAAAAGACAAATGTGTAACTTCACAACATTCGTTCGAACGACAATGTCAAGGCGAATCAAGAAGTTCTTCATGCGATTGTTAGTTATCTGTCGTGCTATTTTAGTATGATTGTTATCAGCAGTTGTTTTGTGAAATGTATTATCAAAATCAATGTTTATTGAACGCAGATTCAGTTTATTTTCAGATGTACCTAGGTACCCTTACACACTTCACTCATCTCCAGCTGTTCAAACACCCTTGACAAAGTCGATTAAGATGAAACGTTGGGTATAATTTATACTGTGTTTTCTCTGCATTATTAACATATTCATCATATACAATATATAACATATACAATATAAGGGCCACATGCTTTTTACAGGGAGACATGTCAGACAGCCCAGTAGGATGAGGCTTCGTCAAGCGTCATTTTTAGCAACGCTTTTCTTGCTTAAAATCCAGTCTGCAAAACATGGCAGGGCTTACACTTTGGCTTACACTTGACTCCCAGCTGTTGTGTCTTTGCTATGCGATGTTAAACATATAAAACATCTTACTATTCATGTATGCGCCATGACTCATGTAATCTTTTCACAGCCAAGATGCTCCTAAGGTACTGGGCATGTGGGGAGTGCAACTGCAGCAGCATCAGTGCAGCACCGATGGTCGGATGCGACGGCTGCGATAAATGGTACCACTTCCGTTGTGCGGGACTGACTAAGGAGCCAGGTAAGCGCAAATGTTTTCTGGCTCAGTATTTTTGTTGCAGCTATAGTGATCAATGAAATATTTTCCACACTGTTCAGCCAAACATGTATTTCAAACAATCTGCTTCCCAACCGAGGGCGTCGCCACAGGGGGGGGGGACGGAGGGGATCTCGTCCCCTCCACTTTTTAAAATTTTAACATTACGCCTATGGCGTTGCATGGAAAGAATCGACTTGAAATGGTCCTCGTCCCCTCCAAAATGGTCAATGTCCCCTCCAGTCGTCGCACCGTGGCGTCGCCCCTGTTCCCAACTACACAAATTTAGTCAAACGATGTGCCAATATGGAATTTTCAGGTTCAGTTGAATGAAATAGGAACAATGATAATTGTAGATTATGTATACCTGCAAGAGAGGAAAACAGAATACATTGTATTGCTTGTCCTTCACTGATACTGTTATTTTTCCATTTCTAGAAACACCGACATGGCGATGCAGGTGGTACTGCCTGGTGAGGCCGCGGTCTCCGGAATCACCTGCAGACGAAGTCACCTGGCGTCCATCTGCACATCACTTGCAGCAGTGAGGCCTGCTGACAGCGTCTGGCAGTGTCGGCAACGTGCCAGACAGCTATCTGGAGTCCTGCTCACCGCAGGTCGCCGACAGGAGGGGCGACGCATCGTCTCCGAGGTCGCCTCAGCAGCAGTGAGACCCCACTGGCCGTCTTCTTAGGCTTCAACTAGATTGCGAACAACCTATGCTGAGACAACGCCCATGACGTGTGATCCGGTACCGCTACCGCACTGCGTGCCTGTGCCCGCCGTGAGCCGCTAGTGCATGGGTTCGACCATGGGAATATGTGTTTATGTTGCTTTTACTATTGTTTATACGTTGAAGTGACGAATTGTTTATTTTTCGCAAGCCTCCGCTGTCCGGTTGCCTGCAGCTCCATGCAACGCCAGCTGTACTGTTGTTTTAATGTTGTCTCTCCGCTCAGCTGTACTGTTGCCTCTCCGCTCATAACAACCTATGCTGAGACAACGCCCATGACGTGTGATCCGGTACCGCTACCGCACTGCGTGCCTGTGCCCGCCGTGAGCCGCTAGTGCATGGGTTCGACCATGAGAATATGTGTTTATGTTGCTTTTTATACTATTGTTTATACGTTGAAGTGACGAATTGTTTATTTTTCGCAAGCCTCCGCTGTCCGGTTGCCTGCAGCTCCATGCAACGCCAGCTGTACTGTTGTTTTAATGTTGTCTCTCCGCTCAGCTGTACTGTTGCCTCTCCGCTCATATATGACACCCTCTATATGAATGGCACTACTGATTGTCACACCCACTGTCCGTATTGTCCGTAGTGGTGTCTACGCCCATGTTAATACAGCGTGCAGAATCCGTATTCTATTGAGGAGAGTTGAGCCAAGTCACCATAGGCTCGGGAAGAGAGCAACGTGGAGGCCCACTGCCCCTTCCCCGGCCCCCACTGGGGGCGCCAGCCACTCCAACTTTTGACTGGATGTCGAGAGCGTCGCCACGAGGGGAACGAGTCGCCGGCCAGCCAAGGTAGCCAACGGCGTGTGAAGGTTGCCTGACCTCGAGGAAACTGAGATGGCACCAACGGAGGTTTTGTTAAGTAGGCGACCAAAATTCGAGCGGCAGCAACCTGGGCACCTTCACAGATAGCAGTGCCGCGTATCAGGGCGCCTTCGACGTTGAGCTGGGCGTCGATCATCAGGACGCCGGGGGAATATGACCCAATATCCCCCGTAAATATGTGCCTCGGAAGGGAGACCCAACCATAAAACTGAAAGCTCGCCGTATTTTATCCACTATTTTTCGAGCAGGTCCATAGATTTCCGTCCTCAAAAGTGCGGGGATATTCCCCAGTGTTTGAGTTGGATGGGACTATAGTGGCGTTTACACCGACAGGAGATTCCCATTGCCGGCTGTGGGAAACTACTGTCGGTGTAAACGCCATTCATATTTCCTGCGTCACCCCTGTGTGGACGCCCTTACTCCATGGTGCCGAGCTTATCAATTTGGAAAAAAATCTCTTATCGATCGATGAAGAACTAAATTACCCCGACCCGGAGAGCGTCTTTGGAATCAAAGCAGTAGCACATGACGCAAGACTTCAGGCAAATAAATCCTTCTTGTCTGAAATAAAGCATTTGTGTATTGATAAGCACGTTTTATAAGCAATGGTAGCAAGATTCTCCATGTATTTGGTTAAAGTGATAATTTAGTAGCAGATACCTACCGTCGCATTTCGTTTTTTTAATTAATAATTTATATTGTCAGAACTAGCAACATGTCTCTTCACTCAACAATAATTACAAAAGTGAAAAAGAAATGATAAATTGCTTATATTTTGGTGAAACTAAAAATTAATTCAGCACACATTTTTTTTTTACAGCGTTGAAGTCCAGCTCCAAAGGACAGCTGACGATCGTAGCCGAGCAGGCTGTTTGGTACTTCTTCACTACTTCTTAGAAGTACCCGTTAGTACCGATCATGTCTCACATAATAAGCTATTGGAACAAAAATATCCATGTTTTTCTAATTATTCTCCTATCACACTTTAAATAAATACTTTTGAAATGCATTTACTACTTAATTTCACAAAAACGGCTTGAAATTTTACAACGTCAAAATACTTATTCCAATTTCCACCATGAAACCACCACTATATTACTTGCTTACAGGCCCGTGCGCACAGTGCGCGCAGTTTTATCGTGACGTCAGAGGGTGCTTCCTCAGTGGCGCCCTCTGGCGGGGAACGCGTGCAAAAAGTCCAGCTCTTAGGCATGTCCCTCTTTAGGTATCTTGGCAGATCTGCTATTTGTTGTCTCTGAGGTCGAGAGAGGAAGAGGGGTGGTGAAAAAATTTGCTGAATTATCAAGATTTTCCGTCATTTTTGCAATCAAAGTAACGTTTAAAATACAAGTTAACACATAGGCATATATTTGTGATAAGTCATTTGCGTTTTGGTTTTCGCTTGTGCCTCTGCTCCAATCCAGAAGTAAGTGAAGCCTGGTTTGGTGCCTGATGATGTGGAGAACGTCGTCAAACATGTTAAATTAACCTGCTGAAAATGGGTAGGTATGTGTTCACTGGCGGATCCAGACTTGCGTTTTGGGGGGGGCCAACTCGTGCAAGGAGCCAAACCTAGGGTACCCCCAAATCCTGTTTTCTCATCGGATTTAGGCCACTTATTTTTCGTCACAGCCCTGAAACGATAATTTTTTTAAACTAAAAAAAAAATAGAGAGAGAAATGGTAGCCCA